ACCCACCCACCCCAACTCTTCTCCCACTGTCATGGCCCACCTTACACATCTGCTCATGAACCAGTTTGCATCCAACAATTCCTTCAAGTGTGAGGGGACAGTAGAGATTAGATTCCCTGTAGGAGCAAATGGACAGTGTTCTTGCATGCTGGCTTTTTGTTACTGACAGTGGTATGTGAGTGTGTGTGTGTGTGTGTGCATGTGCGTGTATGTATGTGTGCGTGTGTGTGTGTACATGAGTGCGTGTGGATTTGTGTGTGTGAGAGTGTGTATGTATGTTCCCTCACCCTGTTATGATGACAAGCTGTTGTCGTTCCAAAGGAATAGTCCCTAGGAGTAACTCTTAAACGCTGTTGCCCTGGTGTCAAGGGAACACCTTTCTAGTACCTCAGTAACAGATATTGAATGTACCGTGCATACCCTTTTATTTTTTGTACAGATTTTCTAGATACGTCTTTACTATTCTTTACTAGAAGGGTTGTGAAATTGTAGCAGTAATGACACAATAAAATCAACAAAAAAAAAAAAATTCCCCGGGAAATAATTTGACAAACATCTTTGTAGGTTCGATAAGGTCACTGAATACTCAGGCTTCAATCTCTTCTTTTTTTTTTTTTTTTCTTCCTTTACCTTTTGTTTCATCATTGTGGAAAATTCAGCACAATTAAGCTTTCCCATGCTTAGACTTCAGACTGTAGTTGATGTGTTTCGACCTCAATCTTACTGGCTAATGAAAAATGAAAAAACAAAAGGCGGTTGTCGTGGTCTGCTAGTTTTCTTTTACTAGAACAGTAGTAGTAGATGCTGTTTTGTTTTTCATTTGATCCCCCCTTCATTGTCAAGCTGCTCTATCTATAGTGCATGTGAGGTAATTTTTAAGGGGAAATACTATTGCCCCCCTCCTGTACCCTATTCCTCCCCCTCCCAAGTGTTTTTAACCCAAGTTGCCATTTTTGTCGTGGTCAGTTTCCAGTGATGTACAGTTTTCCCCTCAGAGTCTATGAGAGACATGGAGCATGTCTGTGTCCTGAAATGGTAGGCTCCTCTGTCATGTGATGAGTATATATTTTTAAAAAAATAACCCCCATAGTTCGGATTATGAGCATAATAGTAATCTTAAATTTTGCTGTTGATGATGATGATTATATATATTTTTCAGTTCAGCAGTGCACTGTTATGAAACCATTCTGTTTTATTGTAGGATTTCATTTTTATGGATATGCTGTCTGTGTTCTACATGTTGTACTGAAACATTTCAGAGAAAACAAGAGATCCCTCTCCCCTTTTTCTTTTTAAAATTCGTCTTATCCCACTTTTCCTTTCCAGCTGATATCCTGTGGGCCTTACTTATTCTCTCCCCGTAACAGTAGCTGTTATAGAAAGTCGCCATGGAACCACTCACTGCCTTAATACAGTTGACCACAGCAGGTGAAGTCAGGAGACACACCCAGCCGGAAAGAACGGGCCGCAAATCAAGGCCGCTCCGCAAAAAGCTCCTCACACCCCGACAGGCCTAAACTTAACTGCACCTTGCATTTCTTTTTTCAGTGATGAACCACATTTAGCCTTGTGTGAACACTTTTAGCTCATTCTGCGATCACATAAATCCAGTGTGAATTCTTACTGTGCATTAACAATGTTGGGTTTCTTTTTTTGTTTGTTTGTTTTTCTAGTAGTTAATAGTTCAAGTCAGCCCGGCAGTGTGTATGTGGCTATCGGATAAGCACAGTGTGCATGCTAACAACACTCTTGGGTGTGAGACTTGCCCCACCGCTGTAACCCCTTCTGGGGGCTCTTCAAGCGTCTTTCACAGCGCCGCCGGAGCTCCGGGGTTTGCTGGTAGGGGGGAGGGCATAGCGGACACTGGTGTGGTCTGTTGACAAAAAAAAAAAAAAGCAGAAAAATATGGTGAGAGTTGGTCACTTTTTCTCTCTCAGGGTTCAAATGCACACATATCCTCCAGCAGTCGCCCTCTGTCTCGTGTCCCTCATCCCGAGTTTTCCGCCCTCAGAATGTAGAACAGCCTCCTGCGTTTTTAGAAACCGCTCTCCCCTCGTTCCCCTCGTTTGTGCACAGGTCTGAACTTCTTTTTTTTTTTTCTTCTTCTTCTTCTGTTTTTTTTTTTTTCTTTCTTTTGGCACTGACATCTAACCATCTAACAAGGAATGAATGAATGAATGTTTGAAAGTGACTGCGTGTAATGTTAAAATTGGGAAATGTATTTTTACAACATGTGAACATTTTTTTTTTCCACTCACACTCATTGTGAATTGATTTTTTTTTTCTTTCACCAGACTGCAAAAACAAACAAAAAAAAACAAATGAAAAAAAAAAAAAAACCTCCTGTAACTAGGCTCTTAAGCTTTATTTTTGTTTTGTTTACTTTTTTATTAGAAACAATCATGTTTGTGATGGTAACTTCCAATGGTAAACTCCACACCGTATTTTAATAAAATCTTAAAAATTAAACACTGGCACCGTCCTTTCAACTTTGCAAATGACAGTATTTCTCTGCTGGTACAAAGATCCTGCTGCGTACTGAACCTTTAACTCTGCCTTCGGTCATCTCTTGTAAAAAAAGCGTCTCATCATTAGTGGTTAGTCAGTTTAAGACAATTAATGCCAGTTGCCAGTTTGTCGTCTCGCTGGTGACACCCGGCGGCTTGAGGACGTGGAGCTGCGTTTACAGGACTTGTGCCATAAACAAAATTGTTTACTGCCACAGTTTGGCAGCTCTTTTATATGGCAACAAAGGCTTATGCAGTGCCAGAATGGCCACAGCTTTACGAGTGGGCAGAGTAGGTGGGGAATACGGGAAAGGGGGCTTCTGTGTAGACCCACAAGGCAAAGGAGGGTGGGGGATTATCAGCCCCAAAATTGCTTCCACATGCACGTAACTAGCAGCCTTCTCTTAAAATGGAGCGGGAGATGGATTGCGTTTATTGACTGTGTGATGTTTTAATTTTCAGTGTGCCTCCAGTGATTATTTTCAGCCCTGCAACTGGCACTAAGGTTGTTTGTCCGTATCGCACAAACACCAATTTAGCATTGCAGTCTTGTTATATTGTCGGTCACTAAAGAAAGTATCAAAATCAATGCAGCACAACTAGAGATGGCATCTTTTTTTATTCCGTCCACTCCTCTTTGTCCAAACCTGGCGTCCACCCACAAAGCAACTGTTTTGCGAGTCCGAGCGAATGTAGCCACCAGGCTCAACAACCAACACCACTTGTGGAAATGTCTCAAAGTACATATGCTGCCATGTGTACAGTCGATGGAGTTCCATTTAATGCAGGTACAGTCGTCCTCAAAATTATTCGTACCCATTAAAGAAGGAAAAAAAACAGCTGTCACTGAAATAAGTTGAAATTGACAGAAGTAAAAATAAATAAAAAAATTAATGAAGATCATGACATTGCTTTTGAATTGTGGTTCAACAGAAATATTTTACATTTTTTAAATAAAAAGCAAGCATGATGCGACCTGTAAACTAATATTTAGTTGAACAACCCTTTGAGCCAATCACTGCAATCAAGTGTTTTCTGTAACTCTCAGTCAGACTTCTGCACCTGTTGACAGCTATTTTGATTTTGGCCCAAGTGCTTTATCCGGGACAGTTTTTTTTTTTTTTAATTATTATTCTTTTCAACCACAATTCAAAAGCAATGTCTTATTTCACTAAATTAAAATTTAGAAAATTTTTATTTATTATTACTTTTTTCAGTTTCTAGTTATTTGAGTGACTATTGTGATTTTTGCCTTTTCTTTAATGGAAGGGTATGAATAAATGTGAGAACGACTATATCGCTCAAGTTACTTTAAGGACAATCTACAATGAACAGAAATAAAAATGTAGACTGCAAATGTTCTTTTCTGACTTGAAGGGGGGGGAATCTCATTTCTTTTGTTTTGTCAGAAAAGGGTTCATTTTTGGCCAATTGCTTTTCAACTGGAGACAAATTTTCAATCACTGAGTTCATTCACACCCTAATCAGACGCGGCCTTTAAGGACAATGATCAGATTCAACAATTTCCCTGAGGTTTGCACCAAAGGGATCAATAAAGTTCTATTCTATGCTATTCCATTCTAGTTACTCCATGTGAGCAGTATGCAGACACTCCTTCAACCAGTGACTGTAAAAGTCCACCTTAAAATGCAGCTTTACTCAAATGACACAGATGACAAGAGAAAAGCGAGAACAGGCTGTTGGCATGCTGAATGCTGGCATCCCGCTTAGGGCCTTAGTACAGGCTCTTGAATGTCCACAACTCCACCATTTGCCGTGTAAGAAGCCGTTTCACACAACATGGTGCGACAGACAGTCTGCCACATGATCGCAAACCATGTGTCACCGCTGCAAAGTGGTTCACATTGAACCACAGAGCCTGTTGATCAAGTTGTTGGCGTGCGGAGAATGCGGAGAATCACCTGAGGAGAGCTGGTTTGTGATCTCGTCGCCCACAGTGGTGTCTTAGTCTCCTCCAGTCGGGAACTGCTCATCTTTCTTGGATACTAGCAAGATGGAGGACGGTCCTTTCCACTGATGAATCTCACAGAGCAGATGGCTGACGTTGCGTTTCCTGTTGTAAAGAGGAACATTATACGGATGTCAGCGTCGTATAGAAAGTGGTCCATGGAGGCAGAGGACTGATAGTCAGGAATATCCAGCGAACAAAGAACATGTCTGCATTTTATCGACTGCAGTCTCGGTGCACAGCGACATCAAGAAGAAATCCTCACACCTTTGTTTATCCCCTTCATTTGTTGCCGTCACTTGATATCTCAACAAAACAATGCACGTCTTCGTAACACAAGAATTTGCCCTCTGCCCTTCTACAGCAGCTGAACCTCTACAGACATGTCACCCATCAAATGTCTGTGTGATGCTCTGGATGAACGCGACTGACAACATGATCCTGCTTCCAGAAACGTCTGCCAGCTTCACCCAGTCCTTCAGGAGCAGTCGGTCAGTCAGTCACTAAACAAGCAGCATTAATTCTACCCCGTGCAAATGGTGGACACGCTTGGTAATGACTTGTGATTTCTGGTCTAGAAGCCACTCATGGTACTTGGATGTTTCATGGCATCCGTTCAGTTGCAGAGAAGTTGCCGAGTTTACAGCATGAGTGCAGGCAGAGAGACGTCGCTCTGCAGAAGCAGCTCAAGCGAGGAAATAATGGTGGACTGACTGCGAGGAAGCTGCTTGTTCTTTGTTCGAGGGCGTGTCGAAGTAGCAGGCAGGAATTATGCAAATATGTTGGGATGTAAATAAGTACAGAAAGAAAAAGTACAGAAGGAGAATAACTCCCTTTGGTGTGGAGTTGAGACTTTGTGAGTTTGCAGCCTTTAACAAAAGGAAAGGAGAAGGAAAGTAAAAACCTGATATGATAGCTTTTAACATGCTGGTGTCCAAAAGGTTTACTAGTAACTGAATTCACCATTGAAGTCCAGTGTGTTGCAATGTTAATATCTCACACAAAGCCGAGGGTGATGGGAATGTCCTTTTATTTTGTTTCACAGGCGTTCGATCATAAACCAAACTAGGACAATTCATCTGGCAGTTATTAAGACATTTTAAAGAACAACTGAAGTAAACCTTGTTGTGGTGCTGGAGAAAAAGTCAGGTAATTAAGATTCATCCTCCAGCGACCACAAATGTTTGGACAAAATGAAAATCAGTCTGATAGTTATTGAGATATTTCAGTCTAGACTAAAGTGGGGGACTGACCGAACCCCAACCCTGAGCTGACTAATAGGTGCGAGATGGAACCACAGACCAATAGACACACACTGTAAAAGAAAAAAATAAAATGTTAACAATGGTCAAATGACTGGCATAAAAAAAAAAAACAAGGCAAAATGAAAGTAAAACATTCTAATTCTAATACAGTACAAAACCCAACATTTTTATTGTAGGTTTTCTAAAGAAACTATTTTCTCTGTAAAACACATAATTAATAGATAGATATAGTCCTTTTATTTAAATGTGTGTGGAATTTAGGAAAGCAGAACATCCATCCATCCATCCATTTTCTATACACCCCTTAATCCTCACTATTGGGGGGGCTGGAGTCTATCCCAGCTGACTTAGGGTGAAGGCAGGGGACACCCTGGACAGGTCACCAGTCTATCACAGGGCTACACTTAGAGACAGACAACCAAGCACACTCCCATTCACACCTACGGACAATTTAGAATCACCAATTGACCTCAACATGTTTTTGGACTGTGTGGAAGAAAGCCGGAGAACCCGGAGAGAACCCACGCTGCACGAGGAGAACATGCAAACTCCACACAGAAAGATCCTGGGCGTCCTAATCGGGACGCAAACTTCTAGCTGCGAGACGACCACCGAGCCACCTTGCAGGACAGAAAGCAGAACAATTACTACAGTATAAATATCATAATACATTTCTGTAAAAAAAAAAAAAAAATCAGGAATAAATGTTATTTGTGCTGCAAGGTGACTCGTTAGTTAGCACTGTAGCCTCGCAGCTAGAAGAAGATTCCCAGTTCGCGTCCTTGTTAGGACACCTGGGATCTTTCTGCATGTTCTCCCCGTGCAGCGTGGGTTCTCTCCGGGTTCTCCGGCTTCCTCCCACAGTCCAAAAACATGTTGAGGTTAATTGGTGATTCTAAATTGTCCGTAGGTGTGAATGTGAGTGTGCTTGGTTGTCTGTCTCTAAGTGTAGCCCTGTGATAGACTGGTGACCTGTCCAGGGTGTCCCCTGCCTTCACCCTGAGTCAGCTGGGATAGGCTCCAGCCCCCCCAGTGAGGATTCAGCGGTGTATAGATAATGGATGGATGGATATTTTCTTAATTTTTATTCTTTAGTTTTATTTTTTAACAGTGCAGGTTGCAGTTGAATAAATTACACACCATGTTTTTTTCCTGAAGACGTTTTCTTGACCTTTGTGGAAAATGTTGTGAGGTCCAGGAAACATGTTAAGGGGAGTTCTTAGGGAGAGACCACAAAAAAAACTTGCACTTACACAAGGCTACGTAACTATGTGACCGAGGATGTTGTTGACGTTTGTCTGCTGTGGATGGTGCATTATCTTCTTCCCTTTTGTAAAAGATGGTGCAGTGTATTCTATGCTAAAGGAGATAAGAAAGGAAGCACTGAAGCACCTTTCCGTAGCATTTGGAGAATTCGATCAGCTGCTTTTGTGGCTGACACTTAGATACTTCCAGTAATTCACTCACTTAGGAACCTTCCTGTATGTACACATTTACAAAAAACTAAATAAATAAATAAAGTACATTGTACTACAAACATACTGTTCTTGCCGGAGTGAGGGACATACATATTACATAACAGCATGTGTAGCTGAAGGAGGCCCAGGATGCCAGCAGTATTTTAACAGACCCGATTCACACACACTTCAAACACGCTTTGGCCCATTGCTTCCCAAGTCCCACGCGAAATTGTGGCATTCATTACTCCTGTCAGCTCCCATGCTGTGGCACCAGATTTTTTTATTTGTTTGTTTAGTTCAATAGGAGGAGGAGGAGGGGGGCGATGGCAGCGGCGGCAGTCCTCGTCGGGTCTGGAGGCACGTTGTCAAACCAGTAAAATGCCAGTACTGGTTCTCATACTTCTTCTGGGTCAGTAAATTCTGTTAACAGCTCTGTAAAATGGGTCATTCTGCTTAGGTAACTTCCACTGGTTTCAGCGAGAAAGAAAACTTCCCAGAGTTGCTCAACTGAGATGGGAATGTTAACAAAATCAAATAGTTTTGAGACTTGTTGGGGACAAAGAGGAGCAGTTTGACAGATGAAGATGTCTGTGTGGTAGAATATGGCCATGCTTGTACATACTTGCCTGCATGATTAATTAGTCTCTAGACAGATGACCTATCCTAGTCGGAGGGATCGTACTACCAACCCCGGACCTCTGGGATAAATATTTGTCTTCGGTTGTCTTTGGAATGATTCAATATTTTTCCAGCCACAGAATGACTCAGATTCTGCATCCCTGTCAGACGACACTATCTTTGTTCCCAATTTTAAAAGGCACCGCAGTGCATCTTTCATTTGACCAGTATTTTATTTAAAGGATTATTCTGGCCTCACCAAAAGACCAACAATGAATTGATCATATGTTCCATTTTGCACGTGTAGTCGGATTTTCTCTCTTTGCCACAGACTTCCAGTGTTATCCAAAGACTGTTCATTGGATGACATGTTCATTTATCACAATTGCAATGGACACCTTAGTGTTTTTCAGGTCAATCATACATAACATATACTGTGTTGGTACCATTATTAGTTTATAGTCCCCCCTCTGCCAATGTTGCGCCTTATCTCTGAGCCTCTTTGTGATGTTCACGGGCAGGATCTCAAGGCACAGCTGGGGTGAGAAGAGTGTCCAGTCTGGTAACCTCAAAGTCACATCTCCGCTTTTTGTAGATGACGTTGTTTTGTTGGTTTTATCAGGCCATGACCTTCAGCTCACACTGGGGCGGTTTGCAGCCGAGCGTGAAGCGGCCGTAATGGGAGTCAACACCTCCAAGTCTGAGGCCATGGTTGCCAGTGGATTGCTCCCTCTGAGTTGCGGGTAAGTTGGAGCCACAAGCGATGAAGAGTTTATGTATTTTGGGATCTTGTTCAAGAGTTACGGCAAAATGGAGTGTGAGATGGACAGACAGGTTGGGAGAGCGTCAGCAGTCACGTGGGCAGTGCATCGAACCAGGCGAACTCTCAATGTACCAGTCGGGCCTCATTTCACCTTCACCTACTGTCATGAGCTCTCCGTAGTTACCGAACGAACACGGGTGAAATGGAGGGCGGCAGCTTTAGTGATGGGGGTGAAGAGTTCAGACATTCGGAGCAAGCTCAGAGTAGAGCCGCTGTTTCTTCATGTCAAAAGAAGCCAGCTGAGGTGGTAGTGTGATCACAATGCCTCCTGAGTGTCTTCATTCGGAGGTTTTCAGGGCACATCCACATGAGAGGAGACCCCTTGGTAGACACAGAACGCATTGAAGACATTACATATCTCATCTGGCCTGGGAACACCTCGGGATCCCCTGTAGGAACTGGAAAACTCTTCTTGGGAGAGGGATGTCTCAAATGCCATGCTTTGCCTGAGGCCACCATGACTGGACTGTGGGTAATCACAAAAAAATGGATGGATGTTTTTCTATAAAGACACGCATCTCTCAGGAATTAGACTCATCAGATGTAAGTTGCACAAGCCTGCGATTGGTCAGTTTTCTCAGCTGGCATTCTCCCACCCTTCCACTATCCTTGTGTTCCCATTTTCTTAGACACCGAAACAACAACAGCAACCACTGGGCAGCAAGTTACCGCAATGAAAATTAATCTGAAACAAAAGTATTGCAGAGGATTTCGTGTGGTCAGACTTATCCATTTTAATGACAGTGCTCATCTCTCTGTTCCACCAAAACAATTTGAGAGAAGCTGCATCGATCCCTTAGCTCTGCCCCTGATGACTGTGGTTAGCTTAAATGAATGCAAACAGAGGGGGTTTTTTTGTACCCTTATAGCAGGATAATAATAAAATGCAAACAGACCATTTTTTGTACTACAGAATGGTCTGGCAAGGCAAGAGTAACTGGGAATATCTCTGAACTGAGAGCCACATACAGAGTAAAGAAGTCCAGAGGTGCTGAGAGATGCACTAGCCCATTGCTGATTTTGGTCTTCACCAGTATTATCCATCTGTTCCTAATGCTGCTCTTTCCTCCTGTCTGTCTGTCGTAGGGGCCTCGAGTGTTTGTGGCGGTGAGGCTGAGACACCGGAGCTAGTTTGGCCCCCGCATAACGCTCTGTGATTAGCTCATGGTTTTCCTCTCATTGCTTCACTCACTTGGCTCGTGGAACATTGACGTGAGCGCGTGATTGACAGGAAGAAAACTTTCGGCTATCTTGGAGGTTTGCGTCAGTCAGGCAAATCTGCTGCCGTATCTGGTGTCCTGATGCTAACTTCTGTGTGTGTGTGTGCGCTGCAGCTCGACTGTAACCTACTGGTGTGTGTTATAGCAATCAAAGCAATCATCAGTTCCCACAGACACGTGTGTGTCTTAATGTCCACTGGCATACCTGCTCGCGTGAGTCACATTTTAGGAGGTTTTGTGTGCGCTCGCACATGTGCACACCTGTGTTGTTGACGGAGTGTCAATGACGTTTCACATTAACGTGAGTCAGTCTGGATGCTGAGCTCACTGTCATTAATCAGCGGGTGGCAGTCGGAGTCGGGTTTTTCCCATAACCTACTTTTAACAGCAAAACAGATGAAGATAGATAGATAGATAGATAGATAGATAGATAGATAGATAGATAGATAGATAGATAGATAGATAGATGAGAGTGGGGCAAGAGATGAGAGAACCGCAGGAATAAAGCAAGAAACAGATGGAGAGGGGGTGTAATTGTTTACTCGATTGTTTATGACTGCAGGACACAAAGTCCAAACTGTTACCTGATCCACATCTTCCCCTTTTCCTCTGTCTGCTCCTCTTCATCGCTCCTCATTCCTGGAAGGTTTACAGGCGAGCCATGTAGTGACGTGGCCGACTCTGTTTTAAAGGACGGACGTTCTCCAGTCACAGAATTGTCTTCTCGCGTTTGCCGGATCAAGCTGATAGTACAGATCACTGGACTACCGGTCCCTTAATCCACATGACCTTGACCGGGATGTATGTATGTGTGAAGTAGGAGGACTGACAAAAGCTTTGTTGCATCACAGCCTATCTGATATTAAGTTCCTCGAGGTTTTACATGCACTCTCTCCCCCCCCACCTCCTTATTTAGTCTGGGCTTTGACACATTGATAAGTGAGTGGCGGTTGGTAACAGAAACCTCCCTGGTCGTCCATGTGTGTACCAGCTGTGGGAACTGGTGACCACTCGACTCGCTCTCGCACACTGACCCGAGGAAATGGGGTTCCTCGGCTGAGATCACAGCTGGATCTGCCAGAGCACAGAAGAACTATTGGAAAGACGGCAACAATTTAAAACCCTTTGATTGTCCGCAACTTCCAATCAGTAAATTAACCGCAGAAATCAAACCCTTCCATCCAGATTGCACTCGTTTGTTATCCGGAGTTGGACGCCCGAGTTTAAAGCCCTATTTTTCTCGTTTCTCTCTCTATTTAACTGCCATTATTCAGCAACTCTACACCTCTGCAGTCTGACGGCGTGCACTGAAGAACAGGGGCAAGAAAATACACAATGCTGAGCGGTGTGTGTTAGGACAGGCCAATGTGGTGTTGATTACCTTGTCAGCATTGAGGTTGCTGAGTTTACACAGCCACTGAAAGACTGGGGAGAGAGAGAGATAGAGGGAGAGAAGAGAGGGACAGTGGAGGAGAGGAGTGAGGAGTTTAACTGCCTTTCCATACAAGGAGAGGTAGGGGGAGAAAAGAGGAGGAGGGGGAGGAGAAAGCAAGAGAAAGAAAGAGAGAGAGAGAGTGAAGAGGGTAATATGAGGAGATACAATGAGAGAGAGAGAGAGAGAGAGAAGGGGGGAGGAGAGAAATTTGGGAAAAGATAAAGACAGGGGATAGAGGGATAAAGGCTGATAAGGCTGCAGCAGACAACCGGTTACAGTAGAGAAAAAAGAGAGGAGAAGAGCGATCCGAGCTGTATCCTCCCTGCTGCAGCTTCTCTCTGTCACTGACTGACTGATCCAACACAGGTAGGGAACACACAGCGAGACCTCATTCATTCTTTGCACACAAAGTCCGCTAGAGTTGGACTTTTTTCTTTTCTTTTTTTTTTAAAGATCCAGTCAGCTTGTTTCCCTACTTTGAGAAAATGTAGCATTTTTGCACAAATGCATGCAGTGGCGGAAGTAGTTTTCAGATCTTTTAGTTAAGTAAAAACGGCAAAGCCGCAATCTAAAAATAGCCAGTTGCAACTAAATTGTTGTTTGAATAAATACACAATGCTACAAGTGTATTAATTATTGCTATAAAACAGACACAATTTATTAAGTGAAGGCTGCGCAAAAGTCAATTAGCAACTTTTGAGTTGTACATACTAGTGGATATGTAATGTTGTGACATTATTATGACTGATTTATTAGCAGGTAAGAACATATTGAAAAAGGCTGGGATAATGCAAATTTAAACTAAACAGTAAACTGCTGGGAGGTTGTATGTAAAATCTATATCTGTGTACTAAGTGCAGTATATCTGTCACTAGTAGCAGCATTGGTAGAAAGCACCATATATCCCTCTGGCATCTAGAAGATTGGAGATATAAACTAAAGTAGCATTGAATGGAAAAATTCAAGTAAAGCACAAGTCTCTCAAAGAGATAAATGTATTTTCCACAACTGAATTTATGCCATGTTTCTTCTTGTGCAAGATTAATGTGCACAGATGTCTTTTTGTTATTTTTTTTCTCATCATTTCTCTGAGGACAAATATATTGCAACCAAATTTACACAGTTTTTTTTGCAGCTGTTTGCATGTTTAAAATGGTAGATAAGCACCTCCATCAGTGGCAGTTTAGGCACAGTATCGAGGAGCGTGCATGTACTGTCCATCCTCACGGGTCCTATTGTTGAAAACTTGGCTTTAGTGAAGTGCTTCCGGAAAACCAAAGTCTGTACTCACTTGTCTCTGTGTCCGTACTGCCTGCGCTGTCATGATCTCTCCTCCGACTGCATGAGAAACAGTCAGCTTTCTGATCTCCTGTTGTGATGCATACCTGAGCGAGTGTCTGTATTTCTGTGTTTATGCATGAATGAATGAAATGGCAGGACCAGATATGCACACAGTGTGCAGAAGTGTATTAAAAGTGTAATTCAAGACAGACTGATGCACCTCTTTTTGCAGCTATTGCCCAGTAAAAGGCTTTTAAGAAAATTCTCAGGGAAAACTGCAAATTATCTCCCCGACATCTCCTTGTTAAAAACGAACACACCTCCGGCTGTGTGCACGAATCTGTGCTTGTGTGTAAATACCTGAACGCCTGTGTATCTGAGCTGAGGTGAACGTGTGTATTATCTCTGCATGAAGCTGCTCTAATTACACAGTGTAGGTGCCCAGGAGGCAGCAACCGCAATGTTTGGCTCTGTGCCACATCCCCTTGTTTTATTGTGTCTTGTGCCTGACAGAAAAAAAAAAAATTGCTGTGTGTGTGTGTGTGTGTTTATGTTGACTGATGAGAGCAGTTCTGTGCTGTAAGTGCATGTATCGGCATGAGTGTTGACAGAAAATAAGCGTGTGCCTAAGTATGCATGAAAGGAAGACCATATGGGCCATTATTATTACTGTACTGTGTGTTCTGCAGCTGCAGACATCAGCCGGTTTTGGGTCTGTATGTTGACCGATAAAGTTCAGTGTGTCAGTGTGGGAATTCATGAAATGTCTCTATTGCATGTTGGCATGTTATAGTGTCCGTGTGACAAGTTCATAGGGAAGGTCAAAGAGTCCACTGTAACAAAAGTCTCAGCGTAGAATAGAGTCATCTGATTAAAGGTTATAATAGCAGCAGAGATCACGTGACAGTCAGCTTAACAAACAGGCCTCAGAGTTTGTTACAATAAAGGATCATGTTCAGGCAAATTGCTTGCTATTAAGCTAAAAAAAAAAGAAAAAAAATGTTGATCTTCCTTCTTCGGAATGTGTGTGTACAGTACATGCGTGTGAAAGACAGAAAATGGGTAAATCTTTGCAACAGCCTGTGACAGGACTGACCTCCTTTTCTATACTAAACACAGTGGAGCGAGCAGACAGGACAGTAGCAGTTAAGTTCACATACAGATGTGAAAAGCCTCCAAATCCGGGTCGTGAATTTTCCATCAACACAAGTGCTCGATTGCAATAATATTTTTGTTATGTTGGGGAGAAGTTGGAATTACTTTTTGGAACAGACTTTAAGCATCTCAACCTGGAGCTTCATCTGCCTCCTGCCGAGCAGCAACATTGCAGCCAGCGAGGTGATCAGATGACTGAGCAGTAAGATCAAAGCAGGGCTCTGTGTGTCTCCATACTTTGGGTATTTTTACGGCCGGCTGTTAAGCTGTGCAGTGGTTAATATACATTTAATGGAGACAGGGAATTGATAAAACACTCAGCGACATATAAGGCTGCGGTCAGAAAAGTGTCAGAGTTGGAGTTTTGCAGCTATATTGGCAGAGTAATACTATCTGACCTCTGGAAATAGACTTCAGGGACAATGTGCAGCAGGACATGAGCGTTGTGTGTGTTGATGGCGTGCGTGCATGTGTGTTTGTGTGCCTGTGTGTGTGTGTGTGTTTGTGCACCGGTTGACTTGCCCAAATTTAACTGTCTGCATTCTGCAGCTGCTTGGAGTTTTAGTTGTAGTGTAGTAACCCGTGGAAACGCCGCTCTCCCTTTCTGTAACTGGCAAAACAGAAAAATTCAACTGTCATCTCAGAGCTAAAGTATCAGCTAATAAATCAGGAAACAAGTAAAACGACATCACTCGCTGACATTGTCTGGTAATATTCTGAAGCTAACATTCTGAATGCATCCTTGAGAATTGAAGTCTGGAGAAGGGCTGAACAATATGAAATAATTATGATAAGAGGAAGAAAAGTCATTTTGCAATTCTTTTGACAGATGTTGTGATATGAGTCACATTTTTAGTGTGGGAATCTTCTTTGGTGACCAAACAAGTATGTTCCGTTTAGTCTGGAGAATATGATTTGTAGGCCGGAGCATATCTCTAACACTGTGTGCTGCATTTGTAAAGGGTATGTTGTGACACATTTTACCTTTATCAAAAAATTGCAGTTTAAATCTATTCCTCAGAGAGGGATCAATAAAGTTTATCTGCAATTTGGATATTGCACTTGGCCTTACTGCGATTATATTTTGAGTAATAGTTCAGCCCCAATCTGGAGCCAATTCAGATGGAGAGTGAAGGCACATTGTCGCACACCGTACTGCAGGGTAGTTTCATCTGGCTGGTTCAGAATCAGACAAAGAAACAGTTGGGTTGGATAGCAGAGATGGCATGAGAAAGTAGGTGAAGGGGAGAGAAGGATGACACGGAAGAATGTGTGTTCGGAGGTAATGAGTGGAAAGTGGGCTGGTGCAGAGCGAACGCAAGTAGCATGGCTCTAATTCACACTCATCTTCAGAAAAAAAAAATAAAAAGAACACGCTCAGGTGCAAAGATACAAAGAAACAGACACACAAACAGCTTTCTTCACACTAACACAATCGCATGCGAAGCTGAAATGTGTTTTGCGCAATTATCATGCACGTGCCCTCCTCCTCTGTCTGCCTCCTAATAGAGTGCGAGTCTGACTCAGCGGCTGGTGGTCAGTGGATGGTCAGTCAGTGAGATCAGTAGAGCAGCAGAGCAGACAGAATCCCCAGAAATGTCATTCGCATTGTTTTATTTTAGGGTGGCTTGTGTAGCAGACATTACCGTGAACGCGGTGAATGTTAACCGTTTTGGACCACAGCCAGAGACTGGGTCAACACACACTGGGAACAGCCCCGGCAGAAAGAATAGGAGGATTTCTTTTAAACGAAGGCTTCAGGGTCAGTGGGTTCAATAATCTTTGTTCTTAGATAAAAGGGTTGCGTTGTGATATGAGGGAAGGAAATGTGGAATTTCCCGCCTTGTCCTGATTTTCCAGGACTGTCTGGGTTTGGTTTCCTAAATGTTCATGCCTTTAATTTGCTTGATGATGTACAAATATCACATGTCAGAGAGACTTCTTAAGCAGCTTTTGATTTTAAATACACTGCAGATTTTTTAGTGTTCAGGGAAAATCCGTTTTTTTATGGTGAGCATAATCTGTGTTTGTGAATAAATCCCAACCGTGTGCAAACCTGATACATCTCTACCAGGAATACTTGCACAGCCATTTTTCATTCTCCGTGTCTTTCAGATGATGTCATCAGAACACCTGACCTGCGGTTGGCTGCAGCAGCTCCTCGTCGTACTTGTGAAGCTTTGCCTCACTTTTGCTGGGCCTTTGCGACCACTGAATGGGACAGAATGCACAGCCAAGAGTCCTGCTTCCTACATCCTGGTCTTTACAGGTCACTGGAGCCCACAGGCTTTCCCCAAGCAGTATCCGCTGTTCCGGCCCCCTGCACAGTGGTCCAAACTCATAGGTGAGAGAGACTGCTTGGAACAGAGACATGGATTATTGGAAAATCAGCCATCTGTAATGGAAAGTTCTACCTGTAACACCACTGAATGTGACTATTATTTCAGACTTGCAGCAGCAGCGAGGAGTCAGGGGATGTTACCTGACCTGCAGTTCACAGATACGAAAGATTTTGTTTTAACAGGGAGCCAATCTCAAGACAGGAATGGTGATCACAGTGAGATAAAGGGACCTCAGCCTCTGCTTCACCTTTGTTCTAGAGGTTTAGAGCCTCATTGTCAGCATGCACACTCATTCAAAGAGAGATGTTAATGAGCAAAGCAGCGAGAGGCAGAGAGCAAGACAGTCTAAATGCTACCAGATGCCGTTTCTCTTTGTTTCTCTAACTTCTGTCCAGCTATATCTTTAATATTTCTCTATTTCTTCAACTCAGTCCTACACTGCTCCCCACATTTCCGCTGGTTTACCACAGTGTTGGCGGCAGAGGCTGCAGTGGTGGTTTTCGGGGCTGGTGAAGGTGGGTGATGATATTTGGGGTGTGGTGGTGTCAGACCGCTCACCTCCGAGCCAGGGGGCGGAGAAGACAAAGGGATTCAGACCCCTCCATTCTCCTTTTCTTTTTTCCAAGTTAAGGAGAATGGGATGGATGGCAGATGTTTGCACATGTGTGTGTACATGTATGTGTGCCTCTTGGAGAGCACAGTGGCGGCTGTGGGTTTGTCTGGTTTCCAGCTCTCCCAGTGCTGCCCTGCTGCCCTGCCAGGGGATGATGCCCTACTTACTCCATATAGAGACAGGCACCGGAGATTCTGACACACCCATAATGACTTTTAATGTCTCAGGGTAATGGGCACCAGTGGACGTGGCGCGAATGGAATGGGTTTTGTCACAAGAGAAGAAAAACTCAAAGGCCTCAATTGGCTGATGATGTGCTGCAGGGGACAAAAAGAGTGTTGGAGATGGAGTTTGTCACAGGATTAAAGAAAACATTACCTGTCGAGGGCTTTTGGGGCCCTCCATGGTTTTGTGTTGCTTTATTTTGAAGATGAGGGGTCAAGGCACCAAGGGCAATGCCAGAAGGAAGAAGGACTGGAGTTTGTCATGGCCAAAAAATACACGAGCAATTTAGGAAGGGTGGGAAGTGGGCTTTTAAAGTCTTGGTGGGGCTTAAACGTGATGTGTTATCAGGTTTCAAGGTCTTGACGCTTGTGGGAAATTTGTTAGGATGGAAATGCAATTAAGTGTATAAGTAATAGTAGTTTGGGGAGAAACAAGATAGTGTGTGAAGTGTGCTGGGCAGGTTGTGTGTGTGGTTCGGTGTGTGTTAATACATGTGTCAAGAGTATTTAAGTTGAACTGCATGCTTGTGTATGTGTGTCTGTATGCAGCTCTGAAAAGTGAGGTAAGGCAGAACCATCAGAGCATTTGTCAGCGTGTTTCTGGCTAACCTTACTCTGCCCCTAAAACCACTGGCCCAGTGCAGCAGCTCTGTGGGTTTCAACACAGAGCTTCAGAACCTGTGGTACAAACCGTTTAACCTAAATCAGTGTGTTGATTCTTCACAGATTTCATAGATAACCAAAACTAAATATAAGAATGTGAAGAAAATGGCTCAGTTGGCTCAAGGTGGAAGAAAAAAAGGCATCAGAAAGGGTTTTCAAAATAGTTTTGATGTTTTTTTTTTTTCTTTTTTTTTTTTTGTCCACCATCTGGCTGCCAACTCCTAGATCCTGACCTACCTCCTGGCAGCTCCAGCCTGTGTTGTGGTTTCATCAGTGATAGATGGAGAAAAGATGTAACTATAACCTTGCAATAATGCCAAAGACACGCATGCGGGCAATTCTTTCAGAATTATCTGTTTAAGTGCAGGAAGTAGGAGGCAGCCGTAGAAATACATACAGGCTCCGTGGTGGAAATGATCTCACCGTCTGGCTGAGGCTCTGTGGTGCTTCATTGACATTGATATGCATTCCACTGAATAAGCATCTTACTCCTGTCGTCTCTTCTTTCTTGAATTTCTTTTCTCTCTTTAGCGGTCAGCCATAATCGCCATTTTCGGCTCTGGGAGGAGGGCGCTCCAGCCAGTGCAGGGGTGCAGAACTTTGCTGAACTCGGGGTGACGGTGGAGCTGATGAAGGCAGCCAAGGAGGCCAGGAGGAAACGCGTGGTCGGCGCCATGTACCGAACGGCTGGCATCCCCAACGGCATTGGGCACAGCTCCACGGAGATGCTCATGCAGCCGCGGAGCTCGTTGGTAGGCACGAATAAACCTGAATGAAAAGCATTTTCAAAAAAAAAAAAAAAAAGGGCATACATGCTCAGACGCATTAAGTCACACCAACCATGTGTTTGACTAAATCTACTCAGTCATCTGGTGACCCGGGTCTCCCCATAACGTCGTTTGTCCGATCTGACCAAATACTTCACCATTTCTTTCCACTATCCAATCAGCCTATGTTTAGCCCAAGTGCCTCAGCCCTGCAGCCACAAACGCCCACATCCATCCTGCGCGGTCTGCACTCTGTCTGCCGCCCGCCCCACTGAACTCTGTGAGCTCAGGAGAGAGGGGCCCAGGATGACGTGCTGCAAAGGGAGTTGCTTGACATTTTTTTTGGAAACATGTATATTTGTTCTCTAACCAATAACAGTTAGATAAGAAGATCGATCAGACGGTCGTGTTTGTATGCTAATATGATGGCAGCCAGCCAGCCAGTTAGCTTAGCTTAGCATAAAGACTGGAAACAGGGGAAAACAGGTAGCCCCTCTAAACATGCTCGTGCTACATGTTTAATCTCTGCAAAAAGCAACTGATCTTTGAAACAGTAGCCCATTGTTTGTACATTCTACCAGCTGTAGATCCACATTTCGCACACAGATATGAAAATGGCACAGATTTTTTTGTATTTCAGAATGTATTTTAGATAAATCAGTGTATTTTCCCAAAATGTTAAATTATTCCATTGCAGATTGAATTTCCCTTCTGGGATAAATAAAGTATTTTTCATTTCATTTCATTTCATAAAGGACATGTTTAAAGTATAAAGACGTCTCACAGAGAAACAATTGTATGTAATCACTCTTACTCACCTTATTGGCCTTTAAAGGATCTCTGGCGGGCAGAATCGACAGGCCTCGTATTGTTCAAAGCCAATATGAGGCTTCAGTAGTCTGCGTTCGCCAAATTTAGAGCCAAAGTTAGTTTCTTCTTCCGCAGCTTGTCGAGAAAAAATTCAAACACAAAGACGAAATGTTTGCAGTAAAACAACCAACTGTGAAACGATGTCCATTTGAGCTGTCTAGCCTAAACCGCTGAAGTCCCATATTAGCCTATATTTAAGGTTGTGTCTTTGCTCATCGCTGGACCACAGGACACCACTGCTGCTGAACGGCGAGCGAGACTGGGAGCAAAGGTCACGGTTGGACTCTTTTTTGAGGCTTGGGCTAAATCTGGGGCCAGGGCTTAAACAAAGGCAAAGGATCTGAGGTATGGCACAGTGGAAAAATGTGTCATACTATTCACAGAGTTGGAAAATAAAGTATAGCCTTTGTGTGTCAAGCATATGTAGCTGATGAATGAGTAGGAAAAAGGTGAAAAGGAAGGGCGGAGATTTGCTGGAGCTTTTAGAAATAGGTGTGTGTCTGCCTGAAAGTCTGGTGACCTACATTTGTTTATTGGTTGTTCCACCGCTTGAACCCGAGGGCCCTTAAAAATCATAAACAACCCTGTCTGAGGGCATCTCTGGTAAGCACTAGTCAGAGACAGCAGCTTAGCAGCTTGTCATCTACAGTAGGTATATGATGTCTGTGGCTGCTTTTAAATGGGTCCGTCTGTTTTTAGATCAGTGGGCAGAGCAGCAAACAAAATAAGAGGCATGACTATTGTGTGTTTGCGTTGAACGTGACTCAGTGATGTGAATCTGTTGACAGCTTAGCCTGTTATTCTGTTTTTCTCTCTTGCACGCTCATTTAGAAATGCCGTCCCTTTCCTATTCCACATAGCCAAAACATTCATACGCAATGCCCCAGAAATCCCAAACACATATGATTCCTATTTCCATATTCATGAGCCATCTGCTATTGTTGTTAAATGTGAAATTCAAAGCAGACAGGTAACACCAAATAAGTACCATGCTGAGCTTCAGTATTTTACAAGCACACGAGCAGAAAAGGGCACAACAACAGCTGAGCACTGCATGCTTTCTGGTATGACAAGTTCTCTCCGAGGCTCTGCGAAAGATTTGCTGTGATTGAGAAAACGTGAAAGGGATCTTTGGAGCTTTGAGTAACTGTCTTTGCTCCAGAGATGCTTCCTGCAATGTATATTGCAAACCACCGTGGACTGATCAAGCCAGTGGCGAGGAAGACCCTCGAGAAGGCATCCTTGCTGAGTGGCCCAATGGATATAGCAGGATGACTTCTTGGAAAAACCGCAGTTTCAGAGGAGGATGAAAAGGACAAGAGGAGGGAGTGATGTTAACAGAAAAGGGAGGAAGGAAGGAGGGGATCAGTGGAGGATTCTGAGAAGCCGCAGAGCTTTTTCTCAGTTTAGTTTGGTGCTGTGCGTCACCGGTTAAGAAACAGACCCTGTGTGTCATGCTGACGCTACCTGCCCCTTGTCCCAGTTGGTACGATTTAATCTTTGTTCCAGCACTCTTCCACCGACTACTCGATCCAACTCCAGGCTGCCCTTTCCTATCCATCCAAAGCTGTCCAAGCCCACCCATCCCACCTGGAGACTTAGTGGCTCAGCACAGGTCCTCAAATATCAGTCAAACGAGGAGGCGTTTTTAAATGTGCTGTTTTCTGGTCATCTGCCACCTCAGTGTGTGCTGACCCCCAGGCCACTTCCTGAATGAGGTCACCAGCTCTCAGGAAACATCCATCACATGGGAGACACAGTCTAACCCTGCACAGGAAAACTGAGTGGGTGCATGCACGAGCACACACACAGGTCCCAGTTGCTACATGATAACTTACAGCATTATGAATCCTGACATCGACTGTGTTTTTGTGCATGATGTCATGCTTACTACATTTACTGTCCTGGCTATTGTACTATGATGACTTAATTCATTCTACACACAACATGCAGTCTACACCGCAAGTATTTGGATAGCAATGCATTCTTTTATTCTCCAGGCTCTGTGTTTCAGCACATTCAGCTTGAAATAAATGAACTGATTACATTAAAGTCTCAGCTTTAATTTGAATGGGTTTACATGAACATAGAGAGGACTGTGCTGGAGATATGGCCCTTCTAACATGTAGTGTCCAATATTTAGGAGTAATTTCACAGCTACATGTGAAGTCAGACAAAAACATGATATTTATTTTGTCTGTGTAGATTCTCAGCCATCCGTGTTGTGGTAATTCTTCGAGCTTCAGTAAAAACCAACTGCACTTTTCTATTTGGTTCTTGATAACGTTTCACCTCTCATCCGAAACACTTCTTCAGCTCTGCGGTGAAACATCTTCAAGAAAGACAAAGTTAGTCGCTTTTTCCTGAAGCTACAAGAACATATTTTTTTATTATTTGGAGGAAATCTGCAGCCAGTGACCACCTGTAGTCTTTATATATTACAGCGCATTTTCCCTGGTGATGCCCTGGTAAGGTATTACACCTCCTCAGCCTGAGAAACACTTTGATAGCTTTAGCTTGATGTCCTGCTCATTGATTAAATATTGTCAGATGAGTTTTGATTTATTTGGCTGAATGTACACACCCAGAATGCACCTGTACACTTCATCCTGTCAGCAGTGAAATCATCAATTAATGTCACAGTTTAACTGGCAGTCATATGCACAATAGAAGAAGCACCACCATGATAAAGTGACATGCTTTGGGTCATGACTTCTTTGTTTTTTCACCACATACATATCGTTATTGTGATTAAAGTACACTTGTTACATCAGTTGATCGAATTTTGTTCTAGGATTACATTGCTACGCTTCAGTGAGCTGCAGCCTTGCTTTGCTGTTTCTGTTGCATCTTGTAGTAAATCCACTGAAGCTATGATCATGAAATCTCCTCTTGATCATTGACAAGTGAACATTAACATCCTGGTGAACATTTTCAACTTGCTATACAGTCATTAAGTCACGTTTTCTTTAACATTCATAGAGTCAGTCCTTCACATGACTGAACTCTTCTCTGGACCAGCTCATTTACCAGGTGAACATTTTCTGTTTGAATGTACTCAACTGTTTTGGCAAATCATCTACCTCTTGTATTTTAATGTAGCATCCACTACTTTATATCAAAACAAAGGTACAGAACCACATATCCTGAAGCACAAAAAAATGTGTCGCTGTCCTTACACTTACAATCTGAGCTGCATATTAACAGCCAAGCGGCAGCATAGGACAATACGGTGGTGTGATTAAATCGATTGTTTTGTTTTCACATCTAGAGTGCTGCAGTTAGACAGTTGATTGGAACTACATCAATAATACAGATAGTACTAATACAATAATATTATCTATTGCAACTTTTGTCTTCTTGTGGCTTATATTGGTTTGATTAATGCAACTTCAGTTTCTTTCTAGTTTCACTGCAGCCACAGGCGGCATGTTTACAATGTTTTCCATCTTAGTTCAGCAGGAATTCTTGAGAATTACTAACAAACACAAAGTACTGCTAAGGGAATCACAGTGGTTTTGCAACTATTTACAGATAAACCAAAGTGCTGAACAAAATAACTCAGTGACAAAGTAATGAAAGCATGACCAAAGCTGTTCATACTGAGAAGGGCATCAATGTGTGAAGCAAATGTCAGGGCAATTCATCCAAAGGCTGCTGAGATATTTCGTTGAAAGCTGCAAATGTCAACCATATGGTGGCACTAGTGGAAAAGTCAGGGGATCACCTAAGTCATTAGGATCATGAATGCCTGAACGGAAAGGAACAGAAACTCTGGACTAAAGTGGACTGAGTGACAGACACACCGACACTGGCATTTCTAGAGACGTGCCGCTACCACGATTACAAACACATTCATCCTCTTAACTTTAAAGCACTGACTGGACTTGCTTCTCAGTATATTTAGAATACATATTCAGTGAACTGCAACCAATTGACGCTAAGGTCTAAAGCAATTGCATTGTCTCTCTTGGAATGACAGTTGTCTCTGATGGTGAAGATGATCCCCAGCCCCGACTGGTTTGTTGGTGTGGATAGCCTAAATCTTTGCGAGGGCAACCAGTGGAAACAAGAAGTCACCATTGACCTCCAGCCTTATGATGCAGGGACCGACAGTGGTTTCACTTTCTCCTCTCCGAACTTCCCCACCAGTCCTCGAGAAAACATCACAAAGGTATGAGCTCTTGCAGTGTTCACAAGCACAAAATCCTCCATCTAATTCACACAGCGATGTCTTCATTTAGTCGTTGCTGCATTAATTCTAGGCTGAGACAAAACAAGGTGGACGGTCCTCGTCTTATTCTTAGAATAAGTTACCAGCATGGGAATGGGACATCATTCTTAGCTGTCTCCACTTAAATGATTGCTTGGCAGCTCTCATGCCTGACCTGAAGTGATTTGAGTAAAAAGGGCCCCCCTTACATAATAGACCATCTATCCTTTCCCGGCATGTGTTTTAAAGTGGGCTATTGTGTATTTGAAGTTCTGTTGAGAATCTGCTGGCTCTCCTGATGAATTATGCCTGACTGTTCTTTGCCGACCTGTTCAGATCACGTCTCAGATGCCAAACCACCCGGCCAACTCCTTTTACTACCCGCGCTTAAAGGAGCTTCCACCGATTGCCAGCATAAAGATCACTCGACAGGGCAGATCACCTGAGCGTCAAACCCAAATGTCTAATCATATTCTACCAAACTCCATCAGTCCCCAGCGCTTCTCAGGTAAGACCACGGGACTTCCTTCATCAGTGGTATGTGGATATTTTACCTCTAAAGGGCAACAAGATTAAAGCAGATGGTTAAAAACATAACATGGTGTGTTTATCATTCTACTGAAGTTTGATTCTAATGAAGATTTACACACATTGGATTGGCTTTGACATATGAAACTCACTCGAGACACTGTGAGGAATGGTTTTCATGAATGGGGAGGCATGTGTTAAGTGCTCTACCATTATCATTCAGCCACATAAATCAAAGGTGTTAATGCTGTGGCCCTTTCTGCAGGAAACCTTTAAGTACTACAAGAAAGCCATAGTACCAACAGAACTTCTTTCTGCAGTGCATTGTGGCACCTTGTGACTCATTTATGTTTTTCCCGTCTCTGTCCCGACTCGTTGCAGCAACACCACTCGACTGTGAGGTGTCTCTCTGGTCATCTTGGGGTTTATGTCTGGGTCCCTGCTCCAGGGGCGGCGTTCGCCACCGCACACGTTACATCCTCTTGCGGCCGGCCAATGCTGGCACCCCCTGTCCTGAGCTGGAGGAGCAGGCAGAATGTGTACCACACAGCTGTATGAAACTCCAGTAACCCACAGAGCGCTCAAGCACAAATACTGCCAGTATTCAACACTGGGACTTTCATGTTATTACTGCTGGACTGAGAAAGGTTGCTGAGCATCTCTTTGCTGAGGATTGTTTTTTGTCTTTGTTGCAGCCAAATTGTGGAAGTTTAAGATGTGCTGCATTTACAGGTGATGAACGTTAGTTTTAGAATGAATACTCCATAGGGTGTATCACAATGGCAGTAAAGTCTGACTCTAAAGGTGTGTTGGACGAATATTAAAAATTCCACATTGGGCCCCTTTTTAGCAAATTAATCACAATCTCACATGTCCCTACAGTTTGATTTTAAGTTTCTCAGCTCAAAACACTGCAATGATTTCACCATGACTGCGGCTGCATTCGATATCACATAGTTTTTCTTTTTACTTTAAGTACGTACTACAGCTAACAAAGCAAATACTGTTTCATACAGTGTGCATACAATTGGGACATACTACTTTGTCACAAAAATGCGCCTTAAGCTTTAACCGTCAGAGTCTGCAATACTTTCGTGACACATTGTGACATATGTAACATCACTGCATGGAGGATTGTGGGTCAGAATGGCCACATAAACATGCTGGCTCGCATATGGCAAAATCTGATCGGATGTAGTCGGACATCCAGGTATTTCTGAGTACTTCATTTGATATACTATATATACATATTCCTCTGCCATACTATCCAGTATAGTAGTATGGATCTTGAAACACAGCCTACAAAACTGGTTTTAGGGCTGTTCTAAAGCTGCTGCTGTTTTCGCCTCCTTCAGGAAGTGCTGCTGTCTGTGTCTGTGATTGACAGTGCCGAGCTGAAGCAAACGCCCTCATATCTTAACAGCTTTTATTTTACACCTATTGGTTTATAACAGCCACAAAACACAATAACAAGGAAGTTTTACCATATGGGACCTTAAAGACTAAATGTTTTGTAGTAAAAGGTGATTTTTATAAACTGCTCTAGATGCAAAATAGAAATGTATCGCCTCGAAGACCTGTGCAAGACTTTTAATGTTGTTTTTTTTTGTCATTATCAGCAACATATGCATTTAAACTGTATGCTGACAGTGGCACTCTGAAGTCAACACATGTACATCTTCAACACATGCTGCTTACACTTTGTGGGCACACAAAAACCTCCACACACAGGTCTTTGCACATGCTGCATACCTTTGCAGGCGTGGAGGCATTAGTTTACAGAGATAACTTATGCTTGGCAGATTAAACTCTTTCAAAATAACTTCACACCCCGATTTATGAATATCACCTTTCATAAGAAACACCTAACAGCTGACTTGAAGCTTAGAGACAGTCCAAAGAAGATGGCCTATTTTATAGCAAAATGCAGGTTTATTTGTTGTTTTTTTTAAATTAAAAAAAAAAAAAAAAAAAGATAAATATTTGTATTATCTCTTTTGATATTTCAATCTTGAGATTTTGTACATACTGTATGATGTATCTTATCTTGTATAACTCATGAATAAATATGGAGGTGTGTTTTTTCAAATAGAAAACGTCTGTGTTGCTTTCTTCCCTTGTCTGGTTTTCCAGTTGGACAACATTTTTTTGTAAAGGCAACATGTGAAACATTTTTGATTTGCACGTTCCAGCATGAAGTCAACTTATTTATGTATGCCAGGGCATAATTTTACCACACCTCTTTATTTGTATCCAAACAACTCACAGTCTAAATGCAAAAATACACAGCCATAAATATCACAGTATGAAAAGGTTATGATGCCTTATATTTGCCAAAGTCATGGATCTACGTATTTATAGATGGAAATTATACACATTAAACCTTAAACTTTGATATCTCTGTGCTGTTTGAACTGGGGTTACTTTAATTGTGGTATTTGCTCTGGCAGGGGAAAAAAAACAAAACAAAACAAAAAAAAAAAACAGCTTACTCTTCTTCTTTGAGGTTTTACTGCAACTGGCAACCATATAGTTGCATTACTGCCATCTTCTGGATTTAATTACAACTCGGAATCTTAAAATTCTCTCTAAAAATATACAGTCTTCACAAAGAAATCAAACGGGCATCTTCATCCTTGCCGTCTTTTCACCACAATTCGCTACACTTTCCAGATCTGCTCCTTTTGGCTGTAATCAGCATCCCTGACAAAATATTGACTAACGACAGCACTTTGATGGAGAGTTTGTGACAAAGTAGCATCTCCTAGTGGCCACAACCAACAACAACACCACAGCCACTGTCACTCCTGCTGCAGCAACTGCTACTACTAAGATAATAATAATAATAATAATAATAATAATAATAATAATAATAATAATCAAGAAACACATTTGTCATTCCCTAATCATATTGGAATAACAGAGAATAAATAAATGCCAGATGGTACCTTTATCTTGTATTTTCTGCTTATTGGCAGCTTCAGTGTGGATTTCAAGGGGGTGCAGTGTACGAAGTGTGTCAGAAAAGTTCCAGGACTCTTGTCACAAAAGATATATATTTCAAACTACAAACTACAAGTGTTCCCCTTCAGAGTAATCACCCTGGAATATATAACTGTGATCTCAGCTCTCTGCAGCTGTTTAACTTTTTTCCACATGCTTTTATATACATGTCCTCTGTTTCATGTCGTCAAGCAATGAGCACAGAGCAACGAACAAACCTAACGTTTCTGGTCTGGTCCTGTTAGAAGCACTGGGATTGATGCAGCAAGTGTACGGAGATGAGACGATGTCACGCTCACGTGTTGTTGAGTGGTTCGAGAAGTTTAAAGAGGGACACGAGGATGTGGAAGACGACCCCAGGAGTGGAAGGCCTTCAACAAGCAGGACTGAGGCCAACGTTGAGCGCGTCAAGCAGATGGTGCGTGGCGATCGTCAGTTGACTGGTTGCAAATGACTTGGGCATGAACCGGGACAACGTCTGGAAGATTATCACTGAAGATTTGGGCATGCGGAAAGTCTGTGCAAAGATGGTGTCGAAACTGCTGAACAATGACCAGAAGGATCAACGCATACAACACTTGCTAGGGAGAGTCATCACCGGTGATGAGTCATGGATCTTCAAGTACGACCTGGAGACCAAACGCCAGAGCCTTCAGTGGAAGAGTCTGACGTCACCAAGGCCAAAGAAAGCAAGACAGGTGACGTCCAAAGTCAAAGTCATGGTAATCACATTCTTCGATATGAGGGGCATCGTTCACTGTGAGCTCAGACGATCAGCCAGCACGTCTACAAAGAGATCTTTTCTTTTTTTTTGGACTTTCTGTCCAAGTACTTAAGGTTTTAAACATTTATTCCATGCAAATAATACTTTACACCTAACAAGTTAGGGGTTTGAGGCTTTATTCCATTAAAAGACTATTTTCTCTCCAAGTGCTTTCAATTTCCAAAGTTTAATCCATCCAAAATATGACTTTCTCTCCAAGTACTTAGAATTTTAAAGGTTAATTCCACCACAATATTGCTTTCTAACTAATACGTTATGGGTTTAAAGGTTCATTCCACCCAAAATACAACTTACACCCTAAAAGGTTTATAAAATACTACTTTCTATCCAAGAACTTACACTTTTAAAGGTTTATTCTGCCCAAAACTCTACTTTCAGTTCAAGTACTTAGAGTTTTTAAGGTTTATTCCACCCAAATAGTGGTTTTGAACTATTTTTTGAATTTTTTATTTATTTTTTTTATTTTTTTCAGATTTAAAGGTTTATTCCATTCAAAAACAACCTAATTTTAATGGTTTATTTCACCCAAAAGACCACTCTAAGTAAGTACAGTTTTAAATATTTGTTCTACCCAAAATACATCTTGGCTTTTTAAATACTGATTTCACCCAAAACACTCATTTCCGTTCAAGTACCTATAGTTTTTAAAGATGTATTCTACCCATAATACTACTTTTTCTTCAAGCAAAATAAAATTAAATAAAATAAAATAAAACAAAATAAAATAAAATAAAAGCTATTCCAGCCAAAATACTACTTTCTGTCCAAAATAACACTCCAAGTAATTACAGTTTAAATAGCATGCTGCGCCAATTTGTGGTTTTAAATATTTGTGTCACTTTAAATACTACTTTCTGTTCACAAACTTATAGTTTGAAAGATTTATTCAACTTAAACAGTTCTGACAAACATGTTGGAGGTTAAAAAGTTTATTCCATTTGATTGTTTTTGTTTTTGCCAGTGTGTGTGGGCTAGAAAAGTAGGGTCGTCTTTGCTGTAAATAAGGGTCACCATGTTATCTGGCCCATAAAATAGGGAATGAACAACCAAGGGTCTCAGAAACGCGGTCCTGTAAATGCAGCCTCCTGTGCTGCGGACACACGCCGGTCGGTCCAGCTCTGGTTCACACTGCGGAAAAAGGCGGTTCCCGGGTCCGCCGCTGGAGGCCGCTGTTTCGGGGCACTTCTCCGCGTCTCCGCAGTGCTGCCTGTCTACGAGGAGTGCGTTTGATTGTTGCAGGGCTCAATGGCGGACAGAGCAGGATAGTGGCGTTAACACCGAGGACAATAACGTTTCGACTGGGTGAATTCCTGGCGTGACTCGGTCCGCCGGTTGCGTGTCTCCGGGCTGCAGCCGTTCAAACGAGCTCTCTTGCACACCAGCGTCAAATCCGAAGCAGCCGCCGCTATTTTCCGCTCGTCTCCCAGCGTTAGCTTTGAGTTCCATCCCGAGCGGAGAAGTTACACTGTTCATGGTGGCTCACTAGAGGAAGCTAGCTTGTCAGCAAACCATGGGGGACTCTCTCGAACTGATAGGGAAGCGTCTGCTTTTGCTCCTCGACGACGGCAGGCCCGCCAACGGATCCGAGCCGGAGCAGGCTCCGTGGGCCCGGGACTGGCTTCGGGGAACGGTGCGGGCAGTGAGCGTCATCGGCCTGGCCGCCCCGGAGGTTAGCGGAGGGGAGGCGACAACAACAACCACTGGTGCAGGGCTCACGGTCAGTGTTTACATACAAGTAGTGCTGTACTGCGTAGCTAAATAACCGCCACTTATGGTATTTGAACCGTGTACTAGCTGTGAAGTGTGTTTTGCTCCTTATTTAGGTTGTTGTTGTTGTTTTTGAGGTTTTTCTTGTGCCGCCAGTGCTGGTCCATTTCTTGGCAGTTAACGTTAGCTCGTACGGATATTAGCTAGCTACGAGTCGCAGGCAGTGAGGCGAAGCTAAACTCGAGGCCGGGGCTTTTCTGGCCTTTGCTTTGTTCGCTTTTTAGCTTCATGACATTTCGCTTTAGCAGTATTTATCCTAACGTTGTAGCATGTACCTGCAACGCTTAGATCCATTAAAGTAATCTAAGTGTTCACCGTAATTAAACAATTAGCCGGCAAGTAGCGAATTCCAGTTAAAGCTGATCAGTTGACATCGTTAGCTAGCGGTAGTCTAGGTAAAGGCCTCATAAGTTCATACAGGGGCGAACCATGAATGCATTCGACTTTATTGTGGGGTCCAGATTGTTTAATGTTCAGACTATTTCACGAATTGGTAGTCTATCAAAAACGTGAATGGATGAACCTAATCTTTTCAAGCCATGTTCAGTCTTCACTGTGTAGGGCGGCTTCATAGTAGACAATTGGGTGAGATTTGTTGTAAATGGGAGGTGGAGGCTGACCTACATGACAGTTACACTTAGTAGCCAAAATGCAGGCTATTAGAATATATGGTAGTCTTCTATTAGGTAATCTAACAAAAGCACTTTGTTTGTATAGCACTTTAAAACAAGATTGTAGGACTTAAATGCACAGTAAATAAGACAGGGATTTAGCAGTATGGAGTTCAGTGGAATTCAAAATTATCTTGTTGAAAAGCATGTAGAATGAGGATTACATTCTAGCTAAATGTCCACTTTACTATTGTATGATATTCCAAAAAAAACACTTTTTAATTTTTTGGAATTTGCAAATTTAAACTGAACTTTCAAACTAGTTTCCCATTTTCTTAAATATAGTACGCAATATAGTTGCTTTTATCTGTCAAATAGCAAGAACTGTTCGCTCTTCTTAGGTGTGCATTCACTAAAGTAAATGTTTACTGTATGGAATTAAACATTAATATGACTTGGGTGTGGGGATTAAGTTTCTGCCCCGCCCTCCTTGGAAATCTTGACAAAATGGTCAGTGTTTTTATATAGGTCTTTGATTTACACAGTTAAAGAAAGGGAGTCAACAACAAACCGTCATCCTACTCACAAAACATATTCTCACTATAACAAACGAATCAAGTTAAAGACATATAGAACTATGCACCAGTTCAACACATTAATCATTTTATTACCTTGCTTTACACAGCATGTCATGGGTCACCAGGAGTTGCTCCAGTTATGATGGGTATTGTGGCAATAATTTACTTAACTGATTCCCACCACCCTACTGACACGTGGATAGATCTCAAGCACTCATTACACAACCATAAAATCTCATCAAGTTATTTCTATGGCATGTTTTTAAACAACCAGAGTAGACCAAAGCGCTGTACATGCTATATGAAAGCAGTAAAAATTTGTGCAAGACAAATAACTAATGTGACAACTGGAATCAGTTGAAAAATCTACAATAAACTTGTTCATTTGCTAAAATTCTTAAAGATCCATTGCTGGAAGGCTTATTCAGTGGCCTTGTGAAACAATGGCAGTGTAGATTTTATGTGTGAGGTGTCATCGAAAGTTTTGCTTCCCCACATCTTTGAAGTTTCACCACAACCACTTTTAAAATAGTTTTCCTCACACACGTCAGTGCAAAAGGTCAGTACTGGGGCCTTTTCGTGAAGACACTAAAATGTGTGCAGCATGTTCACATCGTATTAAAACTAAATTGTAGAATATAAAAGCCTACATGGTAATATCATACAACAAACAAAAATGTCCGAATTTGCTCAGAGTAGGGACAACACTGACTAGACTGTTGTCTAATATATGGCATTGAAGTCTTCCACTATTTTAAAGAAAGTCTAAACATTTCTTCACTTTACATCTTTGCTAATTAACAATGTTAGTACCTGGCACTTCCTGTATAAATGAAAACTTTTACAGCTGAATATGTAAACTGCATAGAGTTCTGCTCTAGACACAACTCAGGCGATCACATGCAGATCTGCTCAAGATGACATAAAAAACTGAGCCAAAAATGTGTCATATGGGACCTGTTTGACTAAAGAAAATTTGCACTAATCTTAAATTTTTATTATTCCTCCTCTTGAATGCACAGAGAGGTGTAACAGAAATTAAAAGATGGAAATCAGTGAAACTGAAATCGTTGGTAAGTCCAGAAGCACATTCTCTGAGCTGTAGCAGATAGACACTGACTGCTGTTGCAGCTCAGGTTATGTCAGGAACCCATCTCTTGGCTGGTTGGGCCCAAACAGATATGAGCAAAATGCTACAAGCAAGACAAAAATTCACTGCAGGCAACATCCAAACACCCTGTGGTTATGGGACAGAGCATCAACCTTGATCAAAGAGAACAAAGGCCCACTGGATTTCTAAAAAATCAATTTATGCTTCAGGCAAATGAACACTGTTCTGCTCTGTCTCGGACCACTTGCATTCCCTGTTTGGGATTTAATAAGAGATTTACTTGTGGTGGAGTTTACTTTACAGAACGAGTCATTACATTTATTTTCAGGAAATATTGTTCTGAACTCTCAATAAATGTCAAAATATGGGATGTAATTTTGTCAGTATTACTCAGCAATAGATGTGGGACTGTGCAGCCACTTTATGGTACGTCAAGTCTCTCAGGTAGTTGGTCAGTTTATTGTATTGGCTAGACACCAGCGATGCCAATTTAATGTTAGCATTATTTATATAAAGGAAAATTCGGGTTTATTTCAATTTGACGTATTTCCAATTATTGTGGCTATTATGACTCTTTGGGTCATGCTAAATTTGCACTCTTCACTCTTGTTGAGATTGGGAAATTAGGCAGAGGTATACCACATGGTATTTTGCAGCGGGTTAAACATGTACTATAATTCTGCATATCAGATGACTTTTTACCTGTAGCAGTTTTCACTTACTACTTAGGAGTTAAGCATTCAGTCCTGCAGGTCTTAGATTTTTCTTCTGTCTTATTTGAGGAGGGAAAACACCATCTTCCGGATGATGGTGTGTGTCAAAGCTCCAGATTATTTTTAGTTCAACAGCTGGATTTACTCTCATCCATGGAGACGCTGAGATTTTCGAGGTCTGGCATTAACTTGTCCCACTCTTGATCAAAAGTTTTCCTTCAAAGTCGGCAGCGGAGCAGTGACTGCATGATTTTCATGTCGCTCCTGTGCTCTCCAGTTTGAACTTAAATGACTTACTATTGTCTTCACAATTGTCTATGGAGTCGTCAGCCATTGTGTTTAACTGCTGAGTTTCCTCAGAATACAGTATCACGGTAGTGAAAGTCAGCCTCACATGTAAACAAACTGATTGATGTGCATGGAGGAATATGCTGGTGACCAGGTCACCTGGCAAGTACCACTGAATGGAGATCTCTAAATGCAGTTTGCAGAATGACCATCCAGCATCTAATTTCTGTTTACACCTTTGGACAGATTGAAAACAAAAATTTAAAGTAAGTCATGAAAAAAATCAGCATTTTTTGAAAGCTGTAGGAAGCTCATGCCTTATTGCTCCAATAAACGCTGTTGGAATGTTATTTTGTGTAACGCCTCTTTTCCCTGAATGTGTACAACCAAGGTGAAGACTGCAAAGTTAGCCTGAGTCACGATAGTGGCGTTTATGAAAAAGATGCCAGACTGATATATCTGGAATTTCTCCATATGCACCATTCTGAGTTTTTTTGACAGACACACTCTTTAAAGTTGATTCATTATTATTTTTCTGGTCTCTTTACTTGTGTAACACATAAAACAAAGTGCAGACATACCAGGTGGAGTGACAACGAGTTTGATTCATTGTTGAATCTGAATGATCACTCATTACCCAGAGAAACATGAATGGTGGAAGGAATATAGGACTCTAATATCACCTACTTTTATATCACTAATACAACTTTCCATGTCTGTTAGAGGCATGCAGCTATTGGCTTTGTGATTTGTTCGGACCAGGGACAGGAATTTTTAGGTGACTGGTTGTTTAAAGCAAGCTGACCAAAACAGTAGTGGCTTAAAAAAGTGGTCGTAGTCAGTTGACCTAAATGAAAACATTTATTTTCATTTATCTTTGGTGTTACCTAGTCGAGTAAATATTTTGTTTTCATTTTCTTAAATTAGTGTATCACAGATTTCTGCTGCCACCGTAATGCACACTGTTGTGGCTTCCAAAGCCTTGAAAATGAAATAAGCACTGTGTTTTGTATGAACTTACTGTTTTCATTGTAAATACTTAAGCAATAGTTCCTATAAAAAACTATTCTAATTGAGGTCTGTGAATAACAGAGTAGTGGTGGGCTTTTTTCCAGAGCAATGCTACTTTTTATTTTTCCAATGTAAAGTTTCAGTGCTGTGACCACCGTACACCAAACAGCTATTCACTGCCATTGTACCGAGAAGGTGGCAGAAATCTAAGAGATGGATTTCCTAACAAACATAAAAATCTGAACTGTCTCCATGGCTACAGAACACGATAGCTAAGTAAGAAAATATGTTGTTTTGTGAATTTAACATTTTCTTCTTTTGGGGAGAACTTCTTGAACAGGAAATGACTCCAAAGTCAGGCGACTGTACTTTCACAGTGGGAGTGGGAGCACATCAGTATCTGAGGGTTGACTTGATATTTCAGTCTTGCTTCCTACAGAGCAACATTTAGTGATTGTCTGCAGGGTCTGAAATTAACACCTGACGAGTGCAAAATATGGATAGATGTTGTGTTTTGTGAGTCAAGCTCGGAAGGTTATCCGCTACACTGGAGGCTGAATGTCCTGAGAAGTCACGTAATTAAAAAACTGCTGAGAGTCTATACTGCGTTTTGGTGTATTTCACGGAAGCACGTCTTCTGTTGTTTATGTCAGAGTTTGACACACTCGGTGTTATTTTTTTCCCCCACACCTATTCTGCCTCTGACCGGCTCTGACCCAAGCCAATCAGAGGCAGAGTAGGGACACTTTTTTTTTTTTTTTTTTTTTTTGCAGAATATGGGAAACTATTACTTGTTGGTAGAGAGTGGGGTGTGTGATAAAGAGGTTTAAGTTCATTAAAATGATTAAGCTTCCAATAGGCTTACAAAAGCTTCAAATCTACTTTTATATTCGATCCGTAAGTACATTTAATAGCAAATACTTCAGTAGAATTTAAGACTTGAGTTGTATTCAATCTTGAATTGAATAACTGTTGACCAGTATATTTAAATCATTTTCCTTTAAGTTTACTCTTTTGTTTTGTGTTATGCATAGTACCTTATTATGGCCATTAAATGCACCAAAACAAACGTATATGTGACAAAGTAAGTTTTTTTTAATTTTTTTTTTATTATTTTTGCCAGTCCTACCAGTTCTGTTGGCCAGTGAGTCAAAATCTTAATTACTGACACTGCTTGTCTGTTTAATATAAGTACCACCGAAATTCCTGCTTCAAAATAATATATCTTTCTTGCTCGCTTAACCTTTAGTTTGTTTTTTTCTTTTTCTTCAAAAGTTAAGAAGGCGGGTCATTTGTTGATCAGTTGCATAGGTGGTGTTAATCAATAACATGCAACAAAGTTCCCACCTCGAGTTTAAGCAAATGTGATTTAACCAGAGGAGGGACGGCAGAAGTCATGCAGACTGATAACAGTCCAGTAAAAGGCTGTAGTCAAGAATTTTGCAAAGACAACCACCCCCCCTACCCTAAAAAAAAAAACACACATACAAAAAAAAGATTGCCAGCTTAGGCATTTGTTACAAACACTGACTCCAGCCTGCACATACAGGCGAGGATCACTTTAAAAAAATCTTGGTATGAACATGCATAGTTAAAGGAAATATCTGTTTTTGCTTCAGTATGAGCACTGTGTTAAATATATACAACTTTCTCAGTCAGAAATAATGGACTCTTAATTTTGATGCCATCAGCCAGATGTTAAATATTAAGGTTGCACCTTTCATAAGCAAATTAATCATCAGCTTTTCTCTTTAAGTCAACATAGCCAGGCAACAAATGATTGACAGGCTCCTGATATCAGGACTTCTAATGTGAGTCAGTCACATCTTTCTTCTATGCAGAATGAAGTGTATTGTTCAGCTCTTCCTATTAAAGGACTGGGCCATGCTGAACTTTGAGCTGGATTAAATGTGTACAATAAAAGCTGTGTGTGTGACCCTATTACACCACCAACACATACAAACTGACTGTAGATGTAGACAGATTCTGTCTTAATGTTATGAATGGAATAACATTTAAAATGTTCAAACTTAACACTGACAAACAATGTGGACTGGATATATTCCTTTTCTGGTAGTATATGTGAGAGTATAAAAGTATGAGTTTTGGAATTATAGTTACGACATGCTCTGGGTTTCTCTTGCTCACAGGCATTGCTTTGCTCATTGACTCAATTTTGGAAACTTTTCTAATGAGTTCTTGGCCATTAAGAAGGATCTGTGCCACCGTCTGCTCTGGCAGGGGGCTGGAGTCTATCCCAGCCGACTTAGGGTGCAGGCAGGGGACACCCTGGACAGGTCACCAGTCTATCACAGGGTTACACTTATAGGCAGACAGCCAAGCACACTCACATTCACACCTACGGACAATTTAGAATCACCAATTAACCTCAACATGTGTTTGGACTGTGGGAGGAAGCCGGAGAACCCGGAGAGAACCCACACTGCACGGGGAGAACATGCAAACTCCACGCAGAAAGATCCCGAACCGGCGACTTTCTTGCTGAGAGGCAACAGTGCTACCAACTGCGCCACCTTGCAGCCCGTTAATTTACCAATAGAATTTTAACTGGACTAGTTAACAGTGTTGCAGCAGCCACTTCATTTAAAACAGTGAGGTACATAAAAATTAATAGTCTTTACTTTAGTTCAAGTCAGTTTTGTTTATATTGTACCGATTCACAACACAAGTCATCCCAAGGCTCTTCACAAAGTAAGGTCTGCACCTGAACATATCAAAAACAAACGTAACAGTACCCTCTAAGCAAGCACTTGGTGACAATGGAGAGAAACTCAAACTTAGAATTGGGAGAAAAAAAAAACTTCTTTTAAAATGATGTAATAGCTTAAAAGCCTCAATTGAATAAAACAGAGGAGACTAATGGAAGAGCCCTAGCAAGTCTATACTATGTGTTAAATATACACTGAAGAAGGCGCAGTGACAGTACAATAACTGGACATACTCTTGTACTGCCTTTTGAATGTGATTGCGATTGCTTAAACTTCACAAGTTCTGTAAAAGTTAGTGAGCAGTCGAGCACAGTACGTTTAACTGTCTTATGAACTTTAACTGATTGTCTGACAGATATAATCTTATTCTTATGTTCTGTTTCTCTCTGTTCACCAACTGTAGGTATTTGTGGAGTTTGAGAATGCTTCGCAGCGTTGTTCTTGGGTGCAGGTGTATGACGAGGGAGTGAAAGCCGTGCTGGTAGAAGACTCCATCGTTTGGGCCCGCCGTGGTGATGGCACTGGGACGACTGGAGCTCCAGAATCATCCACAGCTTGGCCAGCTCTGGTAAGTGCTCAGGTGGCAATGGAAGCAAGCAAACCCTTCTGGGTCATGGGCAGAATTTATCGGCATAAGTGGTTGAGGCTACTTCTGGAATTGGGGGGTGTCAGCATAGGTAGTCACAGTTCGGCTTCACAATGTGGCACACATGTTTTGGATCGATGTTATGCCTGAAAATAAACTTTCTGGGCCACTGAGATTCATTTTAAAATAAGGTGTGCACTCCCTGTTCTACGATGTCCTAATGGACAAAAGGGCTAAAAGTTGGCTGCAACATGGACTGTAGGCCTCACAGGTCCGCTTTCTACATCTGCACCGAGTTTAAAGCCCTAATCACAACCTCAGCTGAAGTTTGAGCTTTAATTATTTTGCACCCTTATTTGCGGCTTTTGCAATGATGATTTGGCTCCGCTTGTAGGTTAGGCTTATGTCCGAAGTCAATGAAGGCATTCCTGCAGATGTTGTAAGAACAGCTGGGACTGATCACCCAAGATTGTTTTTGGGTCCAAAATCACTTAATTTGAACTGAGTTTGATTCAGTTATTGAGTTTATAGTTACATTAGATGAAGCTCAATGTTGAAAACATTACTTACTTCTGCAAGAAACAAGTACAATACATACAGAATGTATGAAAAAACTTTTCCTGGTTGTCAAGCTGTTGGCCCATAATCTTGTTTCTTAGACTAATATAAAAGCACTAAAACATGGCATATCTATATTTTTTAAGACTACAGATGCAAAAGAATTGAGAAAAATAAATGTCCTGTGTCATATGCAAGGTGTTGTTATTATTACACGTATTTAAAACAAGTGCTGTCCTGTATAGCTATATATGGAGTGTCAGTACAGAAATACTTTAAAAGATGTAAATGGATGTTTTCCTGCTCATTTGTTGTGCTGAATATTAGAACTACTTTCCCAAATTTCAGATATTTACATGGTGTTGTCTTTTTCCGCAGGTTTTCCGCTCTCTCGTGGACAGAGTGGGTTTAGGAGCGTTGGTTCCTGTAGAGTATTTTGGAAACAAGAATTTTGAGTTTCTGCCGGATAACAAAACTGTCCAGAGGTTTGAGGTGTGTAAGTTTGTTTTGTGGTCTTAGAAAACTTAGTTTAAAGACTAGTTGATTGAGAAAAACCTAACAATTTTATAATGAAGTAAAATGAGTAGAATATTTGTTGAACAGTACCGACAACGTTTTCTTGATTAGCATCTCATGTGTGATTTGCTTGCTATTTTCTGTTAGTGTAAATTGAATGGTTATGTATTTCTCACGATTAATCATACAAGCATTTTGGTATTACCTTTGACATTTTTCAAGCTAATTGATAAAAAAGCAAAATTAAAGCAGCAGTATCTATTAGTTGCACTGCCTTTGTACTTTAATGTAATACTCTACATGTTTTGTTCTACATTACTGCTGTACCACTTGGGCTATTTCAGAATGGTGTGATTTGTGTTCTTGTGCAGGTTGATAAAGATGTAAGACACCCTTTGCTGTTGGAGCAACCCTCTCTGCAGGCTGCCATCTCTAACTGGTGCACTGACTTTGAACTGCAGGAAATCTTCAGGAAGGGTAAGTATCAACATCGGCCTGCTAATATGTTGTTATCCTTCACATGTTCTCTGAGGTGTTTTTCTAAAATCGTTTCTCACAAGTTGAAAAAAGCTCTTAATTTGAGCATGTGTTAAATTAAAACCAAGGAATTCCCCCCCTAAAAAATCAGTTGAAAGGTTTTTGTAATCAGTGTTGTTGAAAGTTAATGTTAAGCAGAGAAAGCATGATGCCGATGACCTAAAAGTTGCAGTGAGAGTAAGTCTTTGCATTTCGGGTGCGGAAAATGTTAATGTTGAATGTTATAACTGCAAAAGGGTGCACCACAAGGTACAAACCTATAGAAAGCCTTATATCGTACAGAAAGGCTAGGCTGCAGTTCACAAAAAATCACAGGAACTATAAACTGGTACAGTTGTAGAACAAACTTCTACATACTCATGAAACAAAAATCTACTTCTAACAGCTGATGACCTAAAGCATACCATGGCATTTGTTAACATGGCAGTGCCTCTGTTTGTTATAGCCTGAATATGTATGACTGCCAATGCTTACCTTTATTCATGTTGCATCAAAATCCATAATACCATGGTCAGCGAGAATTCTATGGCTAACTGGCGTGCATTATTTTCATGTATACGCACATGCAGTTCGTCGAGTTAAATCACTATTGTATCACGCCGCTCTGGGCGTCACCATAGCAACGGGCAAATCAGCTGGCGCAGATCAGCTGTGTCTTGACATGTGAATGAGAGAAACGCGATAAAACATGGATTTCGAGGTTAATTTTAATATTTTTGGCCGAAACAAACTGCATTAATAAAATCTGATGCTATAGTCAAGCATTCCATTTGTCTTGACAACGGTTGCCTAGGATAAATATTGAGACTTGCATAAAATAGTCCCAAAAACTTAGGCATTTTTAGCAAGTTCTGTGAATTAGATAAATATTCTGTGTGTTTGCTCGCTGTGTGGGACCATGGTATAAGCGGATTAAACAACAAGGAGCCATGCATTATACGGTTTGAATACACTTAACGGAGTAACACCACTCCGCTTTGCGTTGTGGTGTTTTAGACTCCACTGCGTGCATTCAAACCGTATAATGCATGGCTCCTCGTTGTTCAATCCTTACTTGATCAATGATTTGTGATTCAATAGGACAACAGTCCTAAACAGGTGATCAGAGCAACCCAAGAGCTTTCAAAATCAGTTCTCAAAAATTGTTTGCCAATGTTTTGCTGTTTAAAGCATAATATATCTTTTTCGCTGGTTTAAGTTAAAATTTTAGTAGATGCATTCTGTACGATCTGGACTCTGCTGAATGGTTTCTGATTTGTACCTGTGTAAAAGACTGCTGTGGTTGTCCCAGATGTGATAAGACAGAAGCAAGAACAACTTTTGCACCTTTAAAACAGAACTGTTGAATCTTAGGAATATTATTTCAATGATAAAAACAGGACTGTTCAAGGTGTTCTTGTTGATTCTGTTAAATGCAGTATAACAAAAAAAATGAAATAAAAAATTTTACCACAGGTGTGATATTTTTAGTGTTGGCACAGTCAAATGGCTGGATCCACACATGCAGGCTTTGTCTGGCACTAACAAAAATCTAATTCTTCTCAAAATTTAATAGAGAAAAATTGTCAGACATCCAGTCCTTCACTTCTGCTGAACTTTTCACCAGACAGGAGAAATCGGGCATAATGTTGGACTTTATGGGGAGATACATCTGGGTTATGTTCACATAGTAATAAAAAGCAACACAGCGTCTGTGTATGATGTAACCAAGGTGAAACATGTATAATGAAAACAAGTGTGCTATTCATTCTTTATCCCTTGTGTGTCATTTATGTCTGCCAGAATCTAACTTGTCCTTTTCTCATTGTTCCTGTGCTCAGGTTCGTACACTATTCAAGGACGCAGGGTTCGTGTTTACCAGCCAGAGTTTGAAGAGTGCTGGGCCTCAGGACTGGTCTCACAGCACGACCCCATCTCACACATCATGGAGATTACCTTGGATAAGGTAAATAATGTTAACGTTTTCTTAATTATGTTCTGGTAGCCATGGTGTCAAAGGATACTACTTTAAAACAACCATTTTTGCTGCAGGGAGACGAAAATCAGATGGTAGATCCTCGTGTGATACATGTCATGCTGACAGAAGAGGAGGTAAAGATGTCTTAACCTTAACTATACTGTCTAATTGGTTGTATTATGCTGAAGCTGTAGACTTCTAACAAAATTGTTCCTCAATATTTTCCCATTTTAGCTTGGCAAGAATGGGCGGCGGAGAAAGGACAGTGAAACAATGAAGGGGGATAGTGGACGCAGACGTAGGACTGCCTCAGAGGGTGAGGATGACTTGAACATGAAACGTTTTAAAGGAGCAGGAGATACGGGAGCAGATGTACAAAACTGTGGTGACTCCAACAACACTCCAGTTGAAGGTACGGGAATCTGGGCTGGAGACTCTGGTGAAAGAGTTAGCAGCACAACAAAAAATGGAAGTTCTACCGAGGGAACCTTTCCTCAGGGCAGAGTGTCATCCCCCAGCAACAGTTCCTCACTCCAGATGGACCAGTCAAATGCTACTCCTCCTCGTTTTCCTGGCCACATCAAAGAAAATGGTCGCACTCTCTCCACACAAGGGGCAGCAGACTCCACCACCACAATAACTCACACCCCCACCCCTCCTCCCCTTAAACCAGCCCCTTCCCCCTTCTCCACTACATCTTTTCCCTCACTAGGCCAGATGCCAATCTTGGTCCCTGGAGCTCCAGCCCCTAAGGCCTCCCCATCCCCCCAGCCAGACCGAGAGGAGTCCTGCCAGTCAGCTTATTCCAAAACAGCTGCTCTTGTTTCCCCGGGACCTGTCACCATTTCTTGGTCTCAAGACAGCGGTCCTAGTGTGGCACTTTCTGCTTCTGTGGGTTTTAGTCCTAAAGCACCTACCTGGGGAAGCCAGACTGAGGTAAAAGAATCGATATACTTGGTGCTGTCAATACCATGATATTGTGCCTTTTCAGAAAACAGTTTTGTTTCTATTATTAATGTGTTTTTGTTTTACCAAACTGTTTTGTTTCTCAGGGCTCCAAAACAGCATCAGGTTTTCGTTTGTCCCAGCCGGTCCCCTCTGCTCCAGTTTTTGGAGATGTTACCTCTCAGACGAATGGAGCTCCTACTACCACCACAGCCTCCCAGGACTCTCCCAGGCCTTTTGGCTTTGGTTTTGGCGGAGCAAAGAATGAGACTCAATCTCAGCAAGACCAAAACCTGTTTTTCCAGTGCATGACCCAGAATTCTGGATCTAGCCCAAGCCTAACTGCTGGTCAGACCCAGTCCAAGGACACCAACTACTTTACTGCAGTGTCTGAGAGCCTGACTAAAGAGCCCCCAAGCCTTTTCAAGCCAGCAACCTCCACTGAAGGGCTGAAAATGCCCGAGCAGCCCAAAGTGCCTGAGGCCCATCCAACGGGAAATGGTGTGTTCAACAAATCACCGTCGTCCTTCCAGGGTTTGGGTGGCTCTGCAGGAGGACGGAGCTCGGGCTTAAGTATTGGTGGTCTACCTGTGGCCTCTGGAGCCCAAAGTGCGTCTAAGAAGAACAGTAATAACGGAACTTCTGTAGGGGGCTTAGGACTGCAGTCAGGTTTTAATTCTTCAGATAGCCACCAGAACCTTTTTCTACAGGCCTCCAAAGAGCCTGCTAATCCATTTCTGGCATATGGAGATAAAACCTCCCACACATCTTTTGCTGGTCTCACTGGGACTGAGCCACAGACCCTGGGTCCATCCTTGGACAGCAAGCCAAACCTGTTCACGATGGCAGAGCCACCTAAAGGAATTCTGTCTTCCTCTTTCCCAGCACTCTCAACAGTTGCTTCAGCCAGCTCTTCCTCCTCTCCAGCACCAGCCTCCTCTCAGAGGTTACAGAGTGAAGGGACTGTGACAAAGGAGGAGGAGGAGGAGGAGGAGGAAGACGTTGGGGAGATGCCTACATCCACCTCAGGTTGCCCCATGTTTGGAAGCACTGGCCCTGGTGGAATGGAGGAAGTGCCTTTGTCCTTTGACCAGAGCCAGTCTCAGAAGTTTAACCTGGAAGAAAGAGGCCAGTCGTCTAAACGTGACTCTGATTCCAGCAGCAACAGTGACTTGTCAGACCTGAGTGAGAATGAGGACGGCCTGGAGAAAGGCCAGATCCCAGGAGGACCTCCTCATCCTTCCAAGGATGGGGCTATTCTGCAGAAAACTAAAGTCCAAGGGGCTGCTAAGAGCCGTCCACGTAACAAGCCTTTCAAAGGTAAGTCGTGTCCACCTTTAGGTACCTCAGAATTTTTTATGGTAACAAGATTAGCAATACCATTAACACTAAGTTGCCTTTTCCAGTGGGCCAGTCTGTACTAAAAGACCAAAGCAAGGTACGCCGTCTGAAGCAGTCTGGTGAGTCCTTTCTCCAAGATGGCTCCTGCATCAATGTAGCCCCTCACTTGCATAAGTGCCGCGAATGCCGCTTGGAGCGTTACCGTAAATATCGAAGTACAGATGACGACAGTGATGATGACGACGACCCAAATGTGGCCTGTCGTTTCTTCCACTTCAGAAGGTACAAATGATGTGCTTTTGTGGCACATGGTAGCAACGGTTTCTTATGCTGACTATTTGAGTGTCAAAGAGGAAGAAGCAATCTTTGCAAACAATGCTTTGTTACTTTTTGTGTCCAACCAGGTTGGCTTTCACTCGTAAAGGTGTTCTGCGTGTGGAAGGCTTCTTAAGTCCTCAGCAGAGTGATTCAATGGCCATGGGCCTGTGGCTACCTGCACCAGCTGTCCAAGAGGGCCTTGACCTCGATACATCCAAGTACATCTTGGCTAATGTGGGAGATCAGTTCTGTCAGTTGGTCATGTCTGAGAAGGAGGCCATGATGATGGTGGAACCTCACCGTGAGTATAAAGACATCTCACTGATATTACCTGAGCCTTGTTTTTTTCCCACATTTTCTCTTTTATCTTCCCTCTTACATTGTAACAAGTCTGCCATGTGTACAATCCTGTTTTTTTTGGACTGACCTTCAGAAAAAGTGGCGTGGAAACGTGCTGTGCGAGGTGTCCGAGAAATGTGTGATGTGTGTGAGACCACCCTGTTCAACATCCACTGGGTGTGTCGCAAGTGTGGCTTTGGAGTGTGTCTGGACTGCTATCGGCTTCGCAGGAACAGGCCACGGGAGGGTGAGTCATTACAGTGACATTTAGGGAAACTCAGAGCTAGCTCCCATGTTTACTGCAGTGTTACTGTGTACCCTAAGTTTTCTTTCATTGCATATTTTTTTGACAGAAATCTTTTGACAAGGGTTACTTATTAAGATCTTTTTGAAGTTAGGTGCATTCAGTCAGTGTGTTCTTTCCTTCAGATGTAGATGAAGCTCCAGAGGATGAGGTTTTCTCTTGGTTGAAGTGTGCCAAAGGTCAACCTCATGAGCCACAGAACCTCATGCCTACACAAATTATACCTGGGACAGGTAACATGACTGAATAACAAACCTATCTCATGAACATCAAATTTTAAATATGCTCTTGTATTGGTACAATAAGACGGTTTCATGGTCATTGATTTTTTTTTTTGCCTTTCTCCTTCAGCGCTTTACAACATAGGTGACATGGTGCACTCGGCGAGAGGCAAGTGGGGTATTAAAGCCAATTGTCCCTGTACCAGTCGACATACTAAGCCTTTAGTGCGACCTACTGCCCCCAATGGAATTTCGCAGGTACTGTTGTGCTACATCAGTCTTTTATTCGCTCTGCATTTTGAAAACTGTTCAACTTAAAGACTCTGCTGTGTGGTCATGCTTGTCTCAGCAGTCTACAACAAGCAGTGGGGGTGGTCTTGTAGCTGCAGCCTCTGGTATTGGCACCACTCCAAAATCAGAGGGAGAAACGTCAGCGATCAAAACAGAACCTACGCAAACAGCAGTGCCGTCAGACAGTGGGGGCGGTGAAAGCGTGGGCAGCACCAGTAACTCCACCAGTGGTACATCCTCCCCCTGTAACCTCACCCAGTCTTCTGCCAAGGAGTCACGCTCATCAGGAGAGGGCAACAGCTCTGCTCTGCATTGGTTGGCAGACCTCGCCACACAGAAACCTAAGGATGACACAAAGGGTATGTAGGAAATGGGAAATGGTGACTCAGTATAATCTCAATAGACATGATGTTTTAATCATATCAGATTTAAAGTAACGTCACCATCCTCTCCTAGAATCCGGTTCACTTCGCTCCATGATGAGTCGAGACAGTCGGCCTCCCTTCGGCCTGGACTCACTCAGTGCCCTTTCAAAGCCTTCTGCTTCCAGCCCAAAGCTATTTAACAGCTTGTTACTGGGCTCCAGCATGGGCCAGTCTAAACCTGAGGGGTCCAGTCTCCGGGACCTTCTCAACTCAGGACCAGGCAAACTGCCCCAGGGCCCAGGAGAGAGTGGGGTACCATTCCCCTCTGTTTTTACCTCAGCAGGCGTATGTATAAAGTCTTCATTATTTTATGTTGATTTATTAAGTCTTTAAAATGTACACATCTGTATTAAAAATCAACAAGATTAGTCTCTGAACTAACCAAGCCATAAAGTGTTTTGCCCATGTCACCTACAGATCAATAGTCGTTTTCATTTCAATTGTAAAAATATATTAGGATAAGGAATGACTAAATTGGTTACCAATTGTATTACTGCCATCTACTGGTGTAGTAGTGGATGACTTTTATGTTGTAAATGCCAAGATGTTAACTAAAGAGGTGAAGGTTTTACTGTAAGTACATTTTCATACCTGGGTAACACAAAGTTCCTTTTCCATCTGTCAGAGTGACAAGCTGAAGAGCAGCCTTCCAAACTTCCTGGATCACATCATCGCCTCGGTTGTGGAGACCAAGAAGGCAGAAGGCCGTCGTACTGGAGCCTCTGAAGGTGGCGAACTCAGCGTGTTGGGGGGTCGCAAAGATGGAGTAATGGGCCTTAGTGTTTTGGAACCACATACCTCACATTCCTGGCTCTGTGATGGGCGACTCCTTTGCCTACAGGATCCCAGCAACAGCAACAACTGGAAAATCTTCAGAGAGTGCTGGAAGCAGGGACAAGTAAGAATCAAAATTAGTTAAATTAATTTTTTGCATTAACATTATGAAATATAGCAGAGCAAAAAGGTGGCTGTCAGTTAAAGATGGGTCGAAATATTACTGCACCGACTTCTGTCATACATCTAATCTCTTCTTCTTTGTGCCCAGCCTGTGTTGGTGTCGGGGATACATAAACGCCTGAAAGCTCATTTGTGGCGGCCTGAGGCCTTCAGTGAGGAGTTTGGAGATCAGGATGTAGACCTGGTCAACTGTAGAAATTGTGCTATTATTTCTGATGTGAAGGTGCGAGACTTCTGGGACGGCTTTCAGGTCATCTCCAGTGAGTACCCAAACCATTTTTTCCTAAATAATTCATATTTATTGTTTGGATTCATGTGCACGCCGATTTTTATTCAGTCCATGTTCCTCCCTGATGACAGTTGAATGTGGCTAATGTGTTTTCTGTGAATGCAGAGCGACTGCAAGACAGTGATGGGCAGCCCATGGTGTTAAAATTAAAGGACTGGCCTCCAGGTGAAGACTTCAGGGACATGATGCCCACACGGTGAGGAATCCAAACATGTTGCCTTTTTGTGTCTTTCAGGCTCTGTCTAAACAAGAAGTGTTTCAGCCTCATTTTTCACTTGTCCCGTTTCACATGCGTTGATTGAGCTATCTACACAGGCAGTGTTATGACATACAATTTATTTTCACTATATACTTTTAAACACACCTCAAAGTGTACATATATGTTTTAAGTCTGCTTTTCTGCATTTGACGTGCATAAATACAGTGATTATAGGATCTTAGTGTCTCTAACACAAAGGTGATACACAGCTCAATGCTGGGTCTTAATATCTCCCATGGAGACACTGGTGTGGCTGCGAAACTATGTTTTGCTGACACTATAGCTAAAATGTAGATACAATTTCATGAGACAATTTGTTTCCACATGGAATATTTACAAATATACATAATACTGTGTAAGCTCAGGTGATACATATGGCCTCTAGAATATTTGTTATTAGATTTGTGAGACATAGTTCACAGGCATCAATGGGTCAATTTGCTTTTTATGAGATTTTCAATGTTTGCATTTTGCCATCTTGTTGATTTCATGATTTGTACCTTCGTTTTCGTACCTTCATATGTACACAAACATAATCACCATATTTTGGCCATGTTAACTTGGAGGAGTGTTTCAGAGATTTCACACATGCCATAAATGTAAAATGGTTCTTGTGAATCATTATATTCCCATTGTAAGATTGAAAAAAATTCTAGCTTCAGGATTTTTTTGTGAACCAGTTAATTCTTTTATAAGGTGTAAAACCTCTGCTTCAGTCTTATTTGCGTGTAATCGTCATTCATTTGATGAACCTTTACTTTTCGCAGGTTTGATGATTTAATGGATAACCTCCCCTTGCCTGAGTACACAAAAAGAGATGGTCGTCTAAACCTTGCGGCCCGCCTGCCTAACTTTTTTGTGCGTCCTGACCTTGGACCTAAGATGTACAACGCCTATGGTAAGAAGGATTGTCTTGAGTCCGATCTATTTTTTTTTCGTTTTCCTCCCTCCTTTCAATATATATGTGTCTGCATCTTCTCTCTCTCACTCCCTCACTGTCTTTTACCTTCAGGCTTAATCTCAACTGAAGACAGGAAGGTGGGAACCACAAATCTCCATCTGGATGTGTCTGATGCTGTTAACGTCATGGTCTATGTTGGCATCCCTCAAGGAGAGGGAAATCAGGAGCAAGGTCAGTAGATTTAAACTTACATTCTGAATATATTTCTTTCTCTGTCGTGCTTTCTCTCTCACTCATGCACTCTCACACACACACACACACACACACACACACTTTCATTTATTACAAAAGACCCACTATTAAATGAGCAACTAAATGTTTTTTAAATCATGACTTGCTCCCCAGAACACAAAATTTTACTATGTGGATTAATAGCAATATTACATAGATGTTTTTCCAACCTGCCAAATTCAAGACATTAAGTGTTATATAACTACGATTTAAATAGAAGAACTTACATCTAATGCCTAAGTATCACTCACTTGTCATCGATCTAACGCCTCGTGAACAATCTTGTGTATATTTTCACAATTTTGTCACAAACATCATGGTTAGACTGTCTTAGTTGTTCCAGGCTTAATTGGTCTGGATAGGACCCTGAAAAGACCCTTAAGTGGGTCTTACTCATTTACATTGTGGTAAAATTTCTCATTCACAGAGGCAGACATCTCTGGACGCCAAGGTCTGTAGACTTTAAGTTGTATCACTTGAGTAGCATGCCCTTCTTCTTGACTAACTCCCCCTCTTCACTCCTCTGCTCCATCCTTCTGTTATTATCGTGCAATAGGGGCCAGAGCACTGGGACCACTCCCTTAGCTTCTACTGTTGCATGTTTTATACCCCGTTCTGAATTTCTATTTGAAAGCAACCTTAATTAAACTTACGCTGGCACTGAATTTACCATTGTGGAGATTCCTGCTTTCTTCTTCTATGTAGATCTTAGGGTTGGGTTGAAAAGGGTGTCACATTTGCAGCAATGTGAATTCCATGATTTGACATGGATTTCAGCTTCCCTTTAGCTACTGTACTTAGACTATTATATCTACAGTTTCTGTTAGTTTTGGGTGCACTGTGCTCTGGTCCTTGCGCTGTGGGAGAAAAGTTTGAGTGAAGGGCATCTAGAATTGCCATCCCTATTCCCCTGCAGATTCTTTTTATGTCATCACAGTTTCTCTGACACACACACAACTACGGATGGGTATTGTTAGGATTTTATGAAGACAGGCACTGCCTATGCTTCTATGATTTGATGGGATTAAAATTCAAAACAAAGTGCACCAGTGCATAGTGTGTTCTCCATCCATTTTTCAATAGAAATAACAAATTCCATGGTTATCTGCCAATTGTGTGCCTCAGGAAAGGAGCAAAAACTGAAGGTTGATTTATTGTCGTTGATATATTTAGTACACGTGAGATCTAGCTGTGTGTGTTTTGGTTGGGAGAAAACCAGAGGTTGAATATTTCAGATCAGATAGTGGATAAATGTTGACAGCAGGAATAAAATGGAACCAACGGATTTGACTCAACTAGTTGGATTGATTAAGGGGTCACTCTGCAATTTAACCCAGTGGAAGTGGATTGGCCAGGGAATCAAGTCACTTTGTCTCAACAATAAGCATACAGTGTTATTCCATTATTGTGTCAGCTTTTTAACTACTTCATGCAAACGGTTACACAGATTTAGCTCAGGAGCTTCATTTCGCTTTGTTACATGTAGAGTCATGAAAATGCGAGCACGATGCCTTCTAATGAGCGACATCATTAGTGGATTGTTAGATGCAGAAAACAAGTTAATTTAACAGTAGGCAAATGGAAACACTGAACATTGTAAGAGTGATGTTCAGATGAGGATTGTAGTACCAAATGCTCCTTGAGCTTACCAGTGGTAAAGAAGTTGACCTGTCCTTTACCAATTTAAGATTGATCCTCAGTACCCATTCCTACACATGGCAGTATCATTGTAAATAGAGTATCCCATCAAAATAAACACACGTGCACTGTCTTCAACTGACAACTTAACTCTATTACTGTGAATGAATTAAGAATAAGACACACACACACGTAAACTGGTGTAATAAGGTAGCTAACTGGTCACCTGGTTGGGTTGTGAAGACAAACTCAGCCTCGGACTGGTAGAAGACAGGTGTCCACTGGAGCTTACATATTAATCATAAATGTGTTTATTTCCACTTGTCTTTATGAATCACTGATCAATAACTACTGAAGTAAAAGATCACTGGACCCCAAAACAGTAGTTTTAGATGACTTTATAAAGCATCAGTAGACTGTGGATGTGAACGTTGTGTCAGTAAATGTGATTGTGTAGTCTGTAACTTGTCCCTTTCTTTACCCCAGTGGTTCTCAACTGGTCTGGCCATGGGATCTATATTAAGCCACAATCACATACATTTGTATTTCATTGATTTGTTGAAGTTAACAGTTCAATGATCAATGCCGTTTTGTTTTGTTGCACAAGAAATTGTACTTCTGCTATGGCACTTTATGCTTTGCCGAAGTTTTTTTTTAAAAATTAGTCACATGTCTTTGGAGAAAACCATGAATACATTGCACTGCTGCTTCGGGTGCTTGTGTCATGACATCCCCAGTGTGAAGCTGAATGAAGAGAAGCCCAGCATACAATTCTGCAGTCTAACTAGGATGGACTTGCGACCCACTGTTGGGTCATGAGCCACCAGTTGACAACTACAGCTCTGCTACATTTTTGTCAAACAGTATAGTGGATGTACATTAACATACTTGTTTAAGATGAAAGATGGGAAATGTAGATTTAACAGTCTTGATCACTGTCCCTGAGACAGGATATGTTTAGTCACTCATGAAAACGGAGCATAGAAAGATTTTTGCGTTGGAATGGTGTTGAAACATCAGCTCAAAAAGTAATTTATGAGACCATTTAAAGAAGAAACTTGACTGAAATGTCGTGTTGTCATAGAAACACTGCTGATGACTGTTTGGTGCCCTGTATGTGTGTGCCTTATTGCTTATGTTCGGACTCCAGAGGTTATGACCACCATCGAGGAGGGCGATGTGGACGAAATGACCAAGAGGAGAGTGTACGAAGGGAAGGAGAAACCTGGAGCTCTGTGGCACATCTACGCTGCCAAGGATGCTGAGAAGATCAGAGAATTGCTCCGCAAGGTCAGCAGCCAGTAGATTGCTGTTAGATGTCTCAAGCTGCACTACTATTGGCTTCTATCCATGTACTGTGAGATTCTCCAACTCAGATACCATTTAGTGAATAGAGAAGGGAGTAGACGCTATAGCTGGATGTCAGCACAAACAAAAATCAGCTGCACCCCTGGTTTGAATCCAGCTGGAGATCTGTGTTGCATGTAATCCTTTATAAGCCATGGCCTATTCTTACCTGTGTCAGGTGGGAGAAGAGCAAGGCCAAGAGAACCCTCCAGACCACGACCCCATTCACGACCAGAGCTGGTACTTGGACCAGGTGCTCCGCCGCAGGCTCTATGAAGAATATGGCGTCCAGGGCTGGGCCATTGTACAGTTCTTAGGCGATGCTGTATTTATCCCTGCTGGAGCTCCACACCAGGTCAGACATTTGTATGCATATTACTCACGATTCAAGCTACATTGTGCGTTGTCCTCTTTCATGAACAAAGGTGCTCTCTTCCCCTTTCAGGTACACAACCTGTACAGCTGTATCAAGGTGGCAGAGGACTTTGTGTCTCCTGAACATGTGAGGCACTGTTTCAGACTGACCCAGGAGTTCAGACACTTGTCCACTACTCACACGAACCACGAAGACAAGCTACAGGTTGGTCCTCTTGACATGTGGTGTTCATAAATACACACTCATCTCTGTTTAGTGTTGTTTCTAATCAGTATGTTACAGTTGTGTAACTCTGTGTTCACATTTTTGTTATTCTGCTTAGTAATATAGGTCAGTGGTTAATTTTTTTTTGCTGAGTAATCAAAAAATGCAAAATCAAGTTCAATCACCAATACTATGTAGTATAATTTATATGCTGCTAATAAACACAGTGATGGATCTTAGCTAATAATTTGATTTTATTTGTTTACATGTTTAACTCTGTTTGCTTTAAAGATTTGAAGTCATTTGTTGGGATGATTCTTGCTTTTTATCAGAGTGAATTCTCAAATATTCCAGACAACACTGGAAGACACTACTGGGAAGAGAATATGTTTCAACTGCCATGATACTAAAAGCACATCTGTTGCCAAAATGTGTGCATGCTGACCGAGTGCTACTAAATTTTTATTATTTTAATATTATCAACAAAAAGAAGAAGAAGAAAAAATGTGTTAGAAAATGTCATAATAGAAAGAATACAATGATGGTTGCTTTAGATATTTTCAAGTATTGAACAAATTAAGGAAAAAATAGTCATAAGGGACAAAGTTTGGTTTGTGGAATAATCCCAATACGCACATGTTCCACACTGAAATGCGGGTTTTCTCGGGGTAAAGCTCATTGTTGCGAAGGGAAATTTGTACTGCTTTGTTTGATTACACTGTTGGTGGCTTTATAGGTTTTTAGTAGAAGCTACAGCTGCTTATGTTTAGATGATACGTGATACTTGAGAGGTTTGCTTTGTGTGAAATATTTAGAAAAGCATGAAAATGTTCTCGACAGATAGGTATTAAAGTAATTACTATTGTTTCGCTATCGTATACAATCCTGGACTGGTACCCAACTGCAGTCTGTGATAGTTTGTGTGTTTCAACAGACTCACCATGTCGTTGTTGTTCCTCAGGTGAAGAACATCATCTATCACGCAGTGAAGGACGCCGTTGGGACACTGAAGGCCCATGAACCTAAACTAGCACGCCCTTAGTTCCTGTCTCCAAACAACCAGCCTCTGAAGACCACTCCACTACGTACACACACAGCATAGATCACTTACCTACATACACAAGTACAAGCTGCAGGGTGCAGAGTACAGAGGTAGTGTAGGTTTTTGGGGCAGTGAAAGTCTGGGGAACGAGAACATTTGATTTGGGGAGGGATTAGATGGGGAGGGACTAATCAGCGCTTCGATGGAGAAAGTTCTTCATCGCTGTTACACATTATGCTCAAACTTGTCTAGTTGTTTTTCAAATTTTTTTTTTTTTTCTTTTTTGATTAACTCTGTATTTAAGGTCAGTGTGTTTGTTCTGTTGTTTTCATTGTATATGTAAGATGTGAGAGTAAGGGAGGTAAAAGCTGCCGTGCCTTTGGAGCAGAGGTTCAGCTACAATATAAGCAACTGACAAAATGTGAGTACTGGGCTAACTTTCCTATTTTGATGACATTGATATTATTTTCTTCAATAGGAGCAAGGTTAACCTGTTTTTGTAGATTTTTTTGTTGGAAGTTTTTAAACAGCTGATTGTTTCTGCCCTCTGTGGCTGAAATGAATTTGTGAAGCAGCCAGTCAAGGGAAGCAGACCAAAGTTTTGTATTTTTAGTTTTCTTATTTCACTTTTAGAGTAACAAGTCGTTTCTTTTTATACACCACAAGGTAATGATGAGACGGGCTTCAGAGAGGGCAGTTTTTTTTCCACTTGTCTTTGTCCTGTGGGCTGAATGAACTGCAGACTTCCAACAACATTGTTCAAGAATCACAATTGCAGCTGAACAGAACTACTGGCCATTAACATTGTATCAATATATATATTGATCTTAGCAGTCTGTTTGATTTTTCACAATAAAGTTTACAAAAACTACTGTTTACTTAATGCGTTTTTTTAAATCCACAAAGCCTCTTTGCATGCACAGCCAGCGTGTCTATACAGCGTGGGCATGTATTTAGATGCCTAAATTAAGCCTAACAGAGGATTTTTTTTTTTTTGGATTAAGCTCTCAGAACCTGATTGCGCATTCTGTGGTACAGTTCAGAGTAAGAGATGCAGTTGACAAATACAGAAAAACAGTAAAACTCAACAAGTCAGACCTTAAGTAAGACATATTTTTGAATACTTTCTTGATAAATGACTTGAACAGTCACTTGTTTACTGAAATAAACGACAGTTTTCAAGTTTAATCAGTTAATCAAGTGACTCCTTAAGCAGTATGGATACAATTCAGCATTTTCATGTTCAAGAATCCAACGTGTGCAAAATCATTTTTAAAAATAGCAATCTAACAAATCGTGTACTGAGTGGAATTTAGAGGTCGACTAAGTAACGGCTGATTATCGGATCAGATATTCAGCATTTTTTTTTTGATTATCTGTATTGTTATTTTTAACTGATTCCCAATAAAATACATTCATTTTGAAATGAGCCTTTTGGCTGTGATGTAGCAGCCTCTCTGTCAGTCACCACTCTGGCCTGTAGCTTCAGTGCGCTGCCCATGTCATGATTAACAGTCATATATACACAGAAAGATAAATGTTGAAAAGATCCCTTTAACTAAACACAGCTGAAACATAAAATTAAAAAATTTGACACAAGATTTTCATTATTACTGAATATGCACATTGGTTCCAAATATTGGTTGTCGGCCTCCTTGATTACCAACAGTCTGCATCGGCACTGTTAAAACCATATTGTGCACTTTCATCCAGGCCATTCTAAACTTGTCAGCAGTGTTTAAACTTAAGATTGTTACAATGATGCGAGGATCTGTCTGTCAGGCACCACTTTCACTCCTCTTGTTTGAATTGGAGATGAAATTACAGAAGTGAAACTGGTGTGCTGTAACATCACCTAACAAAGAAGGTGGCAAACATGAATTCAGTTCCTCTTATAGCACAAACAAGGTCTCTGTCTTTAACATAGTCACAGTATATGCAGTTGTGTTAATGCAGAGGTGGAGCCAAGGGGTGACCTGAGGTGACCACGGCTACTGCAGACAACCAATAGTGAAGCTCTGATAACTATTTTTCTGGCAAAATATTTTGGGAACCATTTCTCTACAGCCATTGTTCCCATATAGATGCATTTTATTGGTGCAACTACCCACTCATACAACTAGAGCATTGTTTTTGTAGTAATTCAAAGATTTTGTGTTAGTGTCACTGAGTGTAAAATACAAGTTTTGTATACCATATATAATCTGTAAAGTATGCATGATTTAGGTGTAGCTGTGGATTTACACTAAAGAGTGTAAATGCAGCATGTAACATTAAATTAAATTCTTTCTATTCTTTTTAAAATAGGGAAATAAGCATTGTTTTATTTTTTTCTCCGGTGCGTAGGAGATGAGTGGATGGATGTTTATTAAGGTGTATATGATTTAAGTTTCTCAGTGGAGACCAACATTCAACTTTCTAGATGTTCTCAAGGCCTTATGAAATGTTTTTTTCGAGAACATCTTAGAACATTCCTGTATTGTGATGTATTAAAGGTCAAACATTTGACCTTTTTTTTTGTTGTTGAGTGGAACACATTAAGGAATATTCCTTTGTAAAAAAAAAAAAAATAAGGAAAGATGTTCTCAATGCAACATTTACCTCCGACCTCAGATGTTTTTTTTTTTTTTTTACAAGACATTCCTGAACTGGGGCTGCAAGGTGGCGCAGTTGGTAGCACTGTTGCCTCGCAGCAAGAAGGTCGCCGGTTCGCGTCCCAGTGGGGGCACCGGGATCTTTCTGCGTGGAGTTTGCATGTTCTCCCCGTGCAGCATGCAGCGGATTCTCTGGCTTCCTCCCACAAGTCCAAAAACATGTTGAGGTTAATTGGTGATTCTAGATTGTCCATAGGTGTGAATGTGAGTGTGCTTGGTTGTCTGTCTCTAAGTGTGGCCCTGTGATAGACTGGTGACCTGTCCAGGGTGTCCCCTGCCTTCACCCTAAGTCGGCTGGGATAGGCTCCAGCCCCCCGCGACCCTAGTGAGGATTAAGTGGTGTATAGATGATGGATGGATGGATGGATTCCTGAACTGTGATATATTAACAAGGGTGAACACTCTGTCTGCAATGCACTGAAGATGTTTTAGGGATGATGTTGAAGGAACACATAGAATTTGTAAAACGTTCCCACAGTGGTGGGCGAGATGAGGTCATGTCGATTTTTGCATCATAGTCTTCAGTGGAGCAATGCTTGAAGTGTCATAACTTTGGAAATAATGTAGCTTAAGTCCTGAAAGTGTGCAGACTCATTGATTTGTACGTATGGTCTTCAATAGTACAACCCTGCTTTGATAGCACAATAGAAACCGGATACAAGATAGTGCAAATTTGGTCCAAAAAAAATGTCAACATTTATTTCTACTCTGATATTCCACCAACTGTGAAACCTTTATTTTTCACCCTAAGAAGCTGGTTTTTATTTTTCTGTGATTGGCACCAATAGGAGCTTTCAAAATGTGGAGTATGGTGCCAGTCAGAGGCATACTTCATGAGAAAAAAATATAAACTTTTTTTTTGTTTTGCATTTATGGCCAGCATTAGGACAACCATTGAGCACATGTGATAGATGAAAACACTTCTATAGTGGTCTCAACTGGGAAAGTTATAAAATATTGTTACTTCGCTGGTTGTACCATTGAAAATCATATGTACATGTTAATAAACCAAGTCAATTTTAGGACTCTAGCTGCATTATTTCTCAAGCTATGGAACTTTAAACATTGACCCCACTGCTTTTTAAGAACTTTGAACTCAAAAATTACTGTTACCTTTGACCCCCGATATTGCACATGGTCAATCAGTATTCAAC